CGCTCGCCCGCCCGCCCGCTCACGTGATAACATAATACGTCCACGTCTTCGACGGGCGTATAAAAAGCATAAGATTGCTGGAAAATATATCTTGTTTAAACTAATGAATACTTTTTAGCTACCAATAGTTTGTTTAAACAGTACCAGATGTAGTATTAGGGAGACAACTAATTTTTTATTTCAGTGGAGTTATCTACCATTTATAAATAGAACATTTAATGGATTCATTATTGTATTAAAAAAACGTCTGAAAAGTTCATTAAAATGAACACTGAACTGTTATGTTGAATATATCGCCTATTGAGGCTGTAATCAGTGAACATAGTGTGCACGGGACCTGTCCAATTTACCTCTGCTTTCAAGTAAATATCTACCAACTAAGTTTCACTGAAATTGAATCATATTTGGGAAACTTTTTGTGCAGAAACCATGGACCTCAGACTGCAGTACTGTAAGCTATCAAATATGCTCACATTCTGATCACAAAGAACTTAAAATCACTTAACAGATGATGATAAGTGTACCAAAAAATCAAAACCTACAGAAAGACCTTGGTTTTTTAATGGCATCTGTCATGACATAATTGCTAATTACTTACAAATTCCTCCTCTATGTTGAGGAGATGGTCCTGACAATCTTCTACAGCTTCCTCTGCACCAGTGATGAAAATGACATCTGGATCATCAGTGTCAGTACGTGGGAAACGCATATCAACCTTGAACTGATCCATCAACTTGCGAATGTTGCGTCCACGTTGTCCAATGATGCGTGGATGAACTCTGTGGTCTACACGACACTCGACAGTAACCATTTCTTCCTGTAATATTTGTAAAATGTAATCGGTGCTTACAACAAATAAAGGTAAACTGTTTATATTTTATTTTAGACTTTTTATCAACTTGCATGAATAATTCTTTGAAATCCTTGTTATATAACCAATAGTCAATATCACTTTGAGAAAAATGAAAAATGTAGTGTTCTAGAAAGCAAGAAGTTGATGGGCCTGAACAGGTGACTTGACTTCAGATATATATTTCAAATGAATGAATTTTGTTTACACAATACCTTAAAGTATAGCTTTCAACCAGACATTTAAATTCCTATCCCTACATACAATAGCTTCCATGTATTACGGAAAAACTCAGACAGCATCTCTTATATCAAGACAAAGTCTTCACACCTTTCACAAGAAACATTAATCATGAATTTAACGTACATATTCCTGAACGATTTTCAAGATATCGTCTTTGGCAGCCTGTGTATCCTTTTCGTAGCCTGTGATGGTGATGGTGTTCTGGGCATCTTCTTCTCGGTTCGGGAACTGGATGATGACATCATGGTCCTTACGGATCTTGGAGATGACTGCACCTCTGCGTCCTATGATTTTTGGGTGGAGGCTAGACTCAACTTCGATGGTCAGTTGAAAGCTTTTCAGTTCCTAAAGACACGACCAACAACAATCAATTTTAAAATTTATTATCCAGTTTTAAAATTTGATGAAAAACAAGCCATTAGGATCGATATGTCTCGCCTATGCCCCGCTTTGACCATTGATGCAAAAACTTAATATTGATGGAGATGCTGGACAATAAAGATAGGCAGCATCCAGCATTTGATGCATGGGTTGAGATGTACTACCTTAGATGCAACTTTGGTCCAAGTTTGGTTGGTCTAGCACTTATACTTTCAGTGAAACTAACTTAAATGTAAAAACTTAATGTTGACTCTGTCGCCGGAAAAGCAACACCTTAGTCTTGCTCCCACTTCGTGGCGGCGACACAATTACAATGTTGAATAGAATTATGTGGTAATAACGGACATTTTCTTGAATTAAGACTGTATTTCCGTCTTTCAAAAAGATTACTCTTTAACTGGTTTAAAAGACATGATCTTACCCTCTCTTCCATTTCTCGTTCCAGCTCGTCACATCGATCAGAGAGAGCAGCTATGGCTCTGCGTACATTAGCCGGAGGGCCAGTGACTTTGACTGTCTCGCAGTGCTCACTGGCCGGGGGGATAGAGATGTTGACGTCATGCTCTTTCATCATTCGGCGTACATCTTTTCCCTGTTGTCCGATGATGAAACGATGGAAGTCGTATCTGATGGTCATTTCATCCACAATGGGAACAAGCGTCTGGAATGATGATTCATTTAATTGAATTATTTACAATTACCGAACCACAACCATTTGTTATTTTGGACAGGAACTCAAAGAAAATACAAATTTTTCCATTAAGGTCATAGGAGTGTAATGCTAAACGGAAATAGGAAGTACATCACTAGTTGAAAATCCAATGTAGGGAGACAGTATCACAATTTCCGCATAATCTAATGTTTAATATTAAAGTGATGAATATTGTATGCTTATTATTGACAGAACAGTGTGTTCTTTCAATATTAAAGTATTGCAAAGCAATCCAGGCATTAATTCAGTTGTTTTTAATCAATGAGTCACATGTGTCAATTTGTCTGTGCTTCAGAAACCGGCTACCTATTTCACTACTGTGAAGTTTTTCAAGAACGATAACTCTTGCATGCAATTACTATGTGTATATGCTTTTATTATAAAATGTTAATTTTTAATCGTTTATAGATAATTAATTGTACACTATTTCAGCATTTATGAAATTGGTATACATTAATACAATACTAATCTATGTTAGTATCATTTTTATTGACATTATATTGCAAAAAATTGTGTGTTTCAATTTGTTTTTCAAAATTCACTTTTTACATAAATTTCCTTTTAAAATCCTTAAAATTCTGACAAACTATATTTTTTTGGGGGCAGAAAATTTTCTTTACTTCAAAGCAATATATCTACAAAATTTGAATAAATTCTACTGAGAAATGATGACACAATCCTATTACCTTAAGCAGTTTTGATATCCTTCATGCATAATCCATGGAAAGATATTTAAACTTAAAAAATAACCCATTTCAAGTTTCCTACAAATTCAATGAGACCGCTAGACAGTTGATAACTGCAAAATATAGGTACACAATGTTTTCTTCGTATTTGCTGATTTTTATTGACATTTAGGGCACTATGTATCAACAGGTCTGCTTTAACTAACTATTTATAGCAATCTTAAGTATTACAAAGGGCTAGATTGAATAAAAATTGTGGAGGTTGAAGATGTTAGCCAAACATGTTGATGTAAAATCTTGTTGTTTGTGTAACTCGAGTCATTCTTTAGTGCTTTTTCTAGAAATCAAACCCAAGACTACAGTAACCAGTCCTGTGTACTACTGATTGAGCTAAAAGGAAAATTCCCTCTAGCCATGTAAAGTACAAGAGAGCAGATGGCTCACCAGAGTAAAATCTTAACTTTTCAAAAGAAACTAGAACACTGAAAGGTCAGTAAGGGCCCCGCCATGTGCTTAATTCCGACCAACTTTGCTTCATAATGTCATGAAATGGTCATTATTGAAAAGCTACAAAATTTGACCTTGACCTTTGACATTGACCTCTGACCCAAAGACCTTGACCTTTGGTCAGTCAACTTCTTGTTTAATTCTTATCAACTTTGCTTCATCATGTCATACCAAAATGTTCATTAATGAAAAAAAGTAAAATTTGACCTGGACCTTTGAACCTAATGATCTTAAATTTTGACCTTGAATTTTTACCTCAGTATGTATTTTTGTGAACTGAACATCTTGACCAAGTTTCATGTAAAACAGTCAATAAATACCAAAGTTATCAGCCAGGAACAAAATTTGTGGACAGACCGACGGACAGACAGAGTGATTACTATAGGGCACCCGTATATCCGTATCGGAGCCCTAATTACAGACCATAACAATTATTTAACTTCCAAATAGTCAGTGAAGTCAGATCTTGGCATGAGAATTTTATGATCAAGGACTCATTAGTTTAAAATATCAACTTATACAAATATAAAATAGAAACTTGATAAATAAATGCCTTTACCCCAACAGCAGGTTATGCTACTTACCAGCAGTGCCTCCTTGGCCTGTTCACAGTTCTCTAATTTGCCTGTGATGACTATAATGTCATTTTTCTTAGGAGATTGGTCAGGAGCAGGGGTTTCAGGAGCAGGGGTTTCAGGAGCAGGGGTTTCACCATTCACTTCACCATTCACCATACCACCACCATCTTTATGGTTTTCTGTAACAACTGGCACCAACACACAAAATTTAATCAAATATTCCACTTTGTATCTTTAAAACAATCAAAATTTAGTTAATATTAACCATCATACAAAGTTGATCTAATAAATCTGAAACAGAGTCTGTATGTAAATTTATTTTTATCTCAATTTAATGGCAATAATTTGGTGAAGATTTCAGCTTAAATTTTGGCTAATGAAACTAAGGAACAAACTGTTGCTGCTGTCGTATAAATCACATAGCATGCCTGTTTTTGTTTAAGTCATTCAAGATTTACATTATTGCTATGACTTGCATTTAAAGTTAGCGTGTACCTTTATCTCCATTGGCAACAGGCCTCTCAGGAAACTTGATGCCGACATCATATGTACGTGTAATCTCCTGTACATTTGAGCCACGTGTGCCCATCACTGTGCGGTGGTGTTGCTGTAAGATCACACAGTCCATCGTCACCTGCGAGTCCTGTCACAACAAAACAAAACAAGTCTTCAGCTCACAACCTTTAAACTACAAATGCACTAATAAAGATTCAATGAAATTCAGAACCAATAAAAAAGTTCAATATTCTCTCTTTTAAAGGTAGAATATCATACAAGGCAGTGTTTTTTCTACCTAAATTTTACAACAGCTTGTTCTATATAAAACAGGAATAAGGAAAATATAGCATTAAATTTATAGATATTGGGGAGACATTCCTCATTATTTGCCCTTAAATTTGGGCAAATGAAGCACTTTCTTCGCAAAGGGAAGCAGCCTGTATTCACCTTTACAACTTCAACAAATATAGTCACTGCAACGCATCATTTAGAGAATCATTGTAGTATTTTTTTTTCTTTTTTAAACAAAGACTCTATAAAATCTTACCAGATCGTTGACAATTTCCTGAATGCGTTTCTTTGCTCCCTCAACACAATCTTTGGAGCCCTTGATGACAACTCGGTCACTTTTGACACCACTGCGGGGAAAGCTGACTGTCACACCGCCATACTGCTCAGCGATGTGGCGGAGAACCTCACCTCGTCTTGCCACAAAGTGTCTGTGATGTTTTGGGTCGACATTCATCTCTCCCTCAACAATATTATCCTGCAACAATTTATGTATGAATATATTTTACTTGCATAAAAAGTCAACAAATTGTTTTATATGTGAATTGTCAAACAAATTCAAATCTCAAATATAGAGTCAATTGCTGAATTTCTTCAGTTTTTCAACAAGATTCTACAAAATAACATACCAGATTTTTTATTAGACCTTCCAGCTCAATCTTGGCCATGTCAACAGATTCTTTCTTGCCAATGATGCTGATGAGCTCCTGCTCTTGGTCCTCAGAACTAGGGAAGATAACTCTAGCTCCAGTCTTCTCGCGTACCTAATAAAACATTGGTGTACGGGTCTTAAATAGAAACAAGCAATTTAGATCGATATGTCTGGCATATATGCCCTGCGCCCTGCTTTGACCATCAATGCAGATATCAGAGAAACTAACTTAAACACAAACACTTAATGTTGATGGAGATGCTGAAAAAGTCTATGGACCAGGTAGGCCTCATCCAGCATTTAATGCATGGGTTAAGATGTTCTACTTAAAGTGCATCTATAATCCTAGTTTTGTTGGGTTAGCACTTATACTCTAAGTGAAACTAACTTAAATGCAAGAACTTAATTTTGATGCAGCTGTCGCCAGAAAGGAACACCTAATTCATGGCGGCGATACAAATACTGAATACTACTTCAATACAAGCAATATAATGAGAAGTATTTCCCTCATTGTATATAATCTACAATTCATAAATCCATTTTGTTCCAATGATTGGGACACTTATCACATTAAGAACAGTCTAATCTGGACACAAATTGGAATCCCAAGAGCTTAGTTGTATTAGCCAGGTTGTCAGAAAACACAGGTATTTCTATTTGTTACTTTTTAAAGAATTAGAGCATCTGTCATAAGTTTCCCCTTCATATTAGATTTATAATACAAGTTTTGGATTTTTCTTGTTTGCGAGCCTCGATAGCTCTGGCAAGCAAATATGAAAAATCCAAAACGATTATCATAATATGATTTAATATGAAGGAAAATGAATGACAGATTATTTTTATCAAATAATACAAAGTAAACTGTATAATTGTGATTCAAAATGAATATTTTGCACTTGACCATCTCTGAAACAATGAAAATAACGTCAGCTTAACAATGACGCAATGTCACATCGATTGTTCCTCTTCGATGATTGTGACGTCATTTCCGGAGTGATATTACACACGTTACATAAACGTAATTCATGTGATGGCTTTATGACACTGCATAACACGGTATCCATATAATAAATGGAATTATCTCATTGTCAACAAGTACTAATTGTAATGGGGGACCATTACAGAAGTCCCCCAAACTGCCCCCATAGTGCAAAGATGCATCAGAAAAGGATCACAGTGGGGAACTTAAATATCCTCTTACCTTCCTGATGTTGGTGCCTCCCCTACCAATGAGGAATCTGTGATATTCGGGTTTGGCTCTAACTTCTGCTGTGAAACTTGACTGTTGCTAAAACACAAAGCAAACCTAGTGAATTATGAGTTCATTGGTCAAATACAACATAAATGTCATTTTTGTTTGTTCTAAAAAAAATGAATTTTTGTTTATTCTGAAATCATTGACAGTTTTTTTTTAACATCAAGTGAAATTTTATAAAAACTTTGACTACAAAGTCTATCTAGAACTTTGTTTTGAGAACAAAAACATGTCTCCCCTTTTAAGCCAATAGACAAACTTTGGTATAAAAAATTAACAAAGGCCCATATCTCTTTATATAGTGGGGCACAAACCTGATTTTAGTGCGAGAGATTCCACCTTCCCAAGTTACATAAATTTGGTAAGTTTAGTCAACGTAGGTGAAATAACATGGAACTTATGCTCCGGACATACTTCGGTATTAAATTTAAACAAAGGGCCATAACTCTGTATATAGTGAAGCACGATACCTCATTCCTGTGCACTGCACACTTTCTGTGGGTGATGCAGGTATACCTAAAGTTTCATCAAGATATCTTGACGGTTTAAAAGTTATGGCCCGAACAAGAAGAAGAAGAACCAGTACTAATACAATGTCTCCCTTCATTCGAAGGGGAGACAAAATAAATTGTTTCAAACCTCACAACCAGTATATTTCATATTATTAACAAGCATACTGAGTATTGCTAAAGCAATACATGTCCCTACCGGCCCCCGCTAGCTATTACACTGTAATGATTTATAAAAATGGTACCCTTTGGGGTTAATTTGGGAAAATGAAAAGTATACAATTAGCTTGTAACTGATTTTAATGTAATAATACAAGAAATAGTAATGTTAGTATTATGATAGAGGAATTACATAAAATAAAATGATTGACAACCCTGAAACTACTTGTCGAGATATTATTGACCTTTGTATATGTGTGAATTTTGATCAAAATCCCTGAATTAATGAGGCCGCTAGAGGGCAGACAATGAATTTTCTAAAAATAGTAAAGGTGACCTTGACCCAACAACCCTGAAACTTGAACTTGTCAGATATTATGGTCCTTTGTATTTGTGTGAAGTTTGATCAAAATCCTTCAAGGAATGAAGCCGGTAGAGTGCTGACAAACATTGGTGTTACGTACGTACGTACGTACACAGACGGTCGGAGAGGAAACCTATATATAGTCCCCCTAGTTTCACCGGTAGGGGACTAATAAAAGTTCCTGTAAGCCTCATAATCTGTCCTTATATCTGCAAATTTAAAATATAGAAACAACCAAAAGCTGTCTACCTTCTCAGTGGCCAATTCCATTAGTTGTGTTTTGGCATTCTCTACATCTGCAGTTGGTCCACGGATAATAACTTTGTCGCTGACATTTCCCTCAGTAGGAAAACGAATGATGACACCACCACACTCTTCCATGATGGACCTGATTAGTCTCCCCTTGGCACCGATGATCGAGTTGTGTAATTTGTGAGGTATGGTCACCACAGCTTCTTTAATGTTGGCCTGAAACCAAGAGGCATGATGAGAAATACTGTTTGTAATTGGCAAACAATACAAATGGTAATATTTGAAGCATTACACAGTTGCACCTGCAGCCCAAGTCTGGTAGTTTTCCGCTATAAGAAAGAGAGACTTTCCACTGAAGAGTTGGTTTAGGCCAAAAAAAAATATTATTATTTGGTTCTCAGGCCAATTTTTTTCAAAAGATGAGGCAGGGAGGTATTTTTTTTCCATTTTACATGGCAAAAATGAGACGAGGGAGATTTTTTTTTATTCCATCTCTTTTTTGGAGGGTGTACATGTCCTTTCAGTTTAAGTATCACTTACCATGTCGTATCGAACATAATTTCTAAACAACCGTGTAGTTTGTAATACGTTCGTTGTGGGCATTACCTTGTCAAATGTGTCTGTTTTTTTGTCGCCTAACACACATATACTTTAGCAGAACAGAGATTATCCAAGAATGTACCGTTTTTTATAGTTGTGTCGAGATCCGTCATGGAGACTTGGGTGACTAACGAGTAAAAATGACATTTTTCTTAAGACGGCAATTTGTTTTTATTACTTTCACGATAAAATCGGCAATGAAATGAAATGCGTACGGGACCGAGAACCAAATAATTAAATTTGTTTGACCTTAATACATCATAGTAAGTTAGCGCTAGAATTTTCAAATGAAAGTGAAGGAAACTATTTCAAGATATATATCAACATGTTTCGAAGAATTGACATTATAAGAACTACACAGTTGAAAGTATGTTTTCAATAACAGAAAATCTTTCAAAATTATTTCCTGACCTCATATTAATATTCTTTATCATACAAACATGCTTGCAGTAAAGCTTTTGAGATTGCAGAATTTCCAACGTACATTGTTCTTATTTATAAACACCAAATATCTTTCCGATTCAAATAACTCAAGAAAGACCTGTTCAAGAACTGGACAACATCTCGTAAATTCTACTTACCAGATCCTTCTGTATAGTCTCAATCTGTGCCCTAGCAGCCTCTACATCAGCCTTTTTTCCAGTGATGAGGATAACATCTGATTCATTGTCTTCACTCGGCAGATCAATCCTGGTGTTGGTTTCTTCACGGATCTGATATACAAGTTTAAAAGAGATAAATATTTCAGATTATTTGAACGAGAATAGGAAATATTTGTTAAAATACCAAATCTTTTTAAATATATGTCAGACAATTCATTTGTGTTACCTTTTTTCTTTCTATTACTTTGTTTGGCAAAATATCAAAAGAAATACATGTAGTTATTTCAACAAAATAAGTGACAATAACAGTCCAATGTGCTCACCTTTCTGATTGTAGCTCCACCTTTTCCAATGATGTTCTTATGGAAGTCCTTGAAGATGTGAACAGGGGCCTGGTAGTTACTAGCAACCTGAAGTATAAATGTTAAATATAGTAAGGGCTAATCAATCCTCCAAAAAAAATATCTGATCCAGGACTTCCAAAATAAATCATCTGGAATCATTGAATTTTGGTCTATTACTTCTATGCAAATCCAGGGTTATTGCCAGCTATTTTGGGAAAGGGACTCTGAGCAGGAATTGGGAAAATATCATCGGCATTTGGCAAAAATTGGGATATATTTTCAGCGTTCCCACGTGTACAGGTTTGGGAAAATGGAAACTTGCATAAACATCCTTTTTAATCCAATTGGAAAAAGTAAGAATTAAATTGGGAAAATACAAGTTCATTTTTCAGGGAATAGGTCCCTGTACCAGACCCTATAAATACCTTTCAAAAAAACTGAAATCATAATTAAATTCTAAAAAAACCATAGAAGATCACCTGGGGATGGAATGTTGTACCGGACAATTTACTAGAAAATTCATAGATTTTCAACAATATCTGCAAGATTGATATTTAAAATTGTGGGATGCAAATACATTTATAGAAAAAAAACATAACCCTTTATGAAAAGTATTTTTTAATTTAATTTATCTAAAAAATAATCTACTTGTAGATTTTAAACAATATCTGTCAGGATGATATTTAAATTGTGTGAATGCAAACATTTGTATTAAAACAAATATAAAAATGCTTTTTATTAATTATTAATTAAATTTATGTAACAACACTTTATGTTACATTTTTTTATGAACTAAGTTGAACAAATCTTACCATATCTTGCTGTACTTGTGTGAGATGCTTGAAACACTTGTCCACATCAGTCTTTGGTCCCCTCAATGTAACAATATCACTCTTTTTGCCAGGATCAGGGAAGGTGATTTGGACTTGATTGAAGCGGTCCCTTATCTCTCTGATATTCTCTCCTCTGGCTCCTATGATCGAGCGATGGAAACGCTGCTCAATCAGAATATCTCTGCTCTTTTCATTTTCCTGAAAAACGAAATTTAAAACAAATATTTCATACCTCCAAATTTTCGTTTCATATCTTTCAACACTGCAACAAGAGTCTTGAACTTCAAATCGCATAATTTCTACCCAGAGTAAATAACCACGTTTACAGTATGAAGATGGTATGCCACAATTCTGACCTTGAGAATTCTTTTAGCAAACTGTCAAACTTGAAACACCTTAAATACTAGAGAAGCATACAAAAATAAAAAGCTGAAAAGTATCATCATCAGGACATGTATGGGCCTTACCATGCGCTGGGCCATCTCCATGAGCTCTTCCTTGGCCTTGATCACACCACTTGGTTCACCTTCAATCCTGATGATGTTGCTGTGCTCAGTATCAGATGGTATTTTAATGGATACTCCAGTGGCATTCTTAATCCTTGTGACTGAAAATAGATCACATAGATCATTTATGAGTAAATTCAAAAAGTATAATATTATCAGAAATATCAAAACAAAATTGATAGGCTTTCTTATCATAAAGAACATGCATATCTCTAAAATGTCTAATCAATCCAAATATTGTTTTAAAATCTTTACTCACTGTTCTGTCCCGACTTCCCGATGATATGTTTGTGGAATCTTTGATCAATGTTTACTTCAGTGAAGTCCATGCGAGATTGCTACAGAAACAAATTATTCAATGGTCAATCTGATATTGTCAGGAGATAATTTACTATGATATACCTGTCTGGTAAAAAAATATTACAATTAAAAAATCTGATTTCATCAAAATGACATTTAATAATTACCAAATTCACTCCAAATGTTTTTTGATATTCAGTTGTTCTCTTCTGTACAGAAGCCTACTCTATAAACACTGGTTGCTGAACTCACCAGGTCCTTTACAGCAGCCTCCAACTCCTTGACAGCAGATTCCACCTCCTCTGGTGGGCCCTCAACAACAATCTTATCTGCTCCATCAGTGAACTCAATGTGTACCTGTGGTCCAAAGTTCATATTTTAATATCATAAGTAAACCGAATGAGCCAGGGATTTTCCTACAATAGAATTTACGGGCCAAATAACGTCCCTTTTCCCCTCAGAAATTCTTGCTAAAATTCCAAATATGCCACTGAAAAATTCCCAATCGGATGGCCATTTTTCAAGAATTAAATTTGCTCAGTGTGGAGAGGGAAGATGTAAAAACATTCATGTCCGTAAGAAAAGTAAAAGTATATTTTAATCCCTTGAAAATTAAATTTCAAATAAATACATCAAAATGTTATCAAGTTATTTCTGTTGCATTGATATTGTAAAATTTCGCTACTTTAGTCTAGCTTACAACATGTATTACTCAATAAAGTGATACTAACCATCAAAGAAGCAATCTTTGCAACTAATTCAGTATCTTTTATTTAATAAAAGAATCTTGGTAAACAACTGAAGTTTATCTGTCCAAAAAGTCAGCAGTGTGATAAACATGCTGTCGGCCATGTTTGTTTGCTAATAAGGAAACCAACATCCGGGTACATAATCCGGAAATTATCAATTTATTTGTCTGCTCAATTTTATTAATTACTGTATTTTCTTTTTTTACATTTAAATAGGTTGAGGATAATAAATGACTTTAGAATTAAAATTAAAGTTTTCCTTTTAAAGGAAATGGACAAATATTACAACTACCGTATATATTTGATATAGTATAATAAAATAGTAAAAATATATTCTGGCTATCAGAATTTTTTACAAGCCTATACTAGATGTACTAGAGTTAACTGTACACTAGACCTAAGCTTATACATTGAAAAATAAATAAGAAATTCCAATATCAAAGAATGCAATTTCTCATGATGAGAAGTAAAATTTATTAACAGAAACTGGAAAGTGTATTTCTAATGAAAACAGTGCAATGTTGTTCAATGTCGCAATAACAATTGATAACAACAAAAAGTATTAATTGTAAAACTGTCAAAGAAGGGAAATAACTCTTACTAACTGGACAATTCATCCATCAAATATGCACGACAATGCGATATTGTATCGACTCTTGTTATGATTATAAAGCAGATCCCAAACTTCCCTGAATTTTCCCGAAATTTCCGTGAAATTTTCTAAACATGTATCAATAAAAAGAAGTTTTCAGTCATACAGACCTTTGAGAATTGTTCCGTGATCTTCCTCACATTGGCTCCCTGTCGTCCTATCACATATTTATGCAGCCATGTCTGAGCCTTAACCTCGGCAAACACAACACTGTTGGCCTAAAAATATAAAAGAATTACTTTTATAAAAACAAAAGACTAATCAGAGGGTATACATGTAAATTTATGTAAACAGTTGAGAAATGTCCAAACGACTGAAATTTTACTGAAAAAATCTTGATAAATGTCAGTGTCATGAAAGAAATATACTTTTTTTTACCTTAGAGTAGACCATGGTGAGTGCTGGTCCAAGCTTGTCCTGTTCACCACGCAGGGTGATGGTCTCAAGTGAACTATCGACTGGTGGTACCTCGACAGACACTCCAGTTGCGGCCAGAATTTCGTGGACGCCATTTCCACGTGGCCCAATGATGTACTTATGCTGAGACTTCCGCACCTCAACTGACACTGTCTGACACTTACGTTTCTATATAAAAAAAACAACATTTATGTAAGAATCATACCCGTAATAACATATTAATGCAGAAATCATAAAATTATTGCAGAAATTTGTTCTAGAAGTCTCTTATAACAGATTTTTCGGTAAAGTGTTACAAACATGGGCTTTTACGGATATTTCAGCTTTTTAAAAATCATGGTCCATGTGTTATCAAACATACCGTTCAGTCACATATATTTTTTCAACCGCTTTGAGACAGGGGCCTGTCTTGTGACTGGGAAAATATCCCACGCAAAAAAACATGATTTTGGGAAAATGCGGCAGAAATAATCAAGGGGAAAAATATCCTTGTATAGCCCGAGCCCCCCAACCCATATATTCATAATAGTCACATCTAGAATGGCCCAAATTATAAGCAATCACTGATTTGATAACCTCAACCTTTAGATCTCTATTGTGTGACAATTATTTTGGATTAAAGTTTCCTTCAATTTCGACCGTTAAAATGAAAGCAGATACACAATTTTAAGTAATGGGTTCCATTTTTTCCCAGGATGCACCTCAAAAAACATGTTGACTTAGCTACAGCAACATAAGTAATTAGAAATTCCTTTTAAAAAAGATAATGACAGATTAGCTATTTGAGAGACAAAAAGATGCATATTAGGAATTTGCACTACTTACCTTTTCCTCATAAATCTTCATAATGTTGGCTTTACATTTGAGGACTCCATCCACCTCTCCAGTAACAACGATCTCGTCCTTCATCACGCTGGGTGGGGGCATGTGGATTTTGGCCCCAGTTTCCTCTATCCACTTTTTTATATTTTCATTTTTAGGTCCACAAATAAAGGGGTGATACACTTTTGGTACAGGTAGACGCTCAAAAGCCAGTTTAGCCTGAATACAAATAAAGCAAAGTTCTTAACAGTTCTAAACAAGACATCAAAATACAGTAAAACTTGTTTGCGCCAAATGTGCTTTAATTGAATACAACGGATGAGTTGAATGTTTCCCTCGGTCCCGTTGGTTTCCTCTCTTTATATTAGTAAATTTAGCATGGGTGTCTCGAACACTGTATAGTCAAAATAAGTGGCTGTGTCGAGTATATATGTCAGTCCCTCCTTAACAATCGTACTAAACTTTCCTCCGCTTAAGTCGAACGTTCAAAGATTCCAATAAGACTCGGGTAATTTTTTAATTGTCTCGCTTCAGCGCAGATGGCCAGGTCCCAATCAGGCAGCCATGATGATAACTATTGCTGTTCACTCGTGCAGGGCGACAACCGCTCGCTTCCCAATTTCCTTGCTTACACAGGTGAATAAGTGCAGACTTAAGAGTTTCCATTATGTGAACAATAACAACTTTGATTAATTAGCCTAAAATTACTGCTATTGTTATCTAGCGCTTATCTCTACATCGGGAAATTCAAAGTTGCAGAAGAACAAAATAGGCAATAAATGCAAATATCCCACTTTTATCTGTAAATTGATCTGCGGTTCGATAAATAACAGCAAAGTCTAATCCTGATAATGCAAATATTTATGTTAAAAGTTATTTTACCTTAAAACATATTTTTTGTGCAGAACAGTACCCTGAAGATGTGAAGTGTGCCCGTTAACCAGGAAGAGTTAAGTGTGAACATGTCAAAATTGTGTTCCGGTGCTTTTTAATAGACTGTTTATGTATTTAGCGATAAATGTGAGTACAGTTACTACATTTCTCTTTTCTTATTCATCTTATTGACATCCTGTTTAATGTACGAGTGTGTACTAATGCACATTGTTAGCAATGAAGTTGCAGATGCGCTTTCAACAAGAACCATAATATTAATCTAATAACACGACTCTGTCTGTACCTGTTCGTCTGATGTTATCTGTATCTCATGTTTGGCCTTGTCGATGCCTTCTTTGGTTCCCGTGATTTTGATCATGTCCGAGTTCTCTTCTGGTCGGGGGATGGTAATCTTGGTCTGTGTAGCCAGTTCTAGGTCTTGGAGTTTCTTGCCACTCTTTCCAAGGATGAATCTATGGTGTTCCCTTGGTATCTTCAATAAAGTATTTGCCTAGAAAACAAGAAATAAGAAAATTGTAACATGCAACTTGTAGTGATCTTACATAGTACAACTTAAATCTTTTTAATGTCAAAAGTTTCCATGAAACACAAAATGTTTACTTGAAAACTATCCTTAAAGTTATCCTATAAATACCCCCAGCAACCCATGTCCTTTTATCAAAATTAAATTCCTTAAAATAATGTACAGCTACATCGTAAACATGGAATTGCCAGCTTATAAGAAGCTATAGCTATTAGCTAATCACTTAGTTTCGGGACACAATTTAAAAGTTAAATTCTAAGCCATTGTATGCCAATAATTCTTTGTGGTTTTAGTATTTGTGAAATTCGGTCCTTAAATGACCATAGTTGTTGATAGGATGTTGAACAATACTAAACCAAACCAATTTGTGAAATAAGGTTCTCCAAACTCAGTTAATTCAACCATTTAATTTTAAAAGAGACAGAATGATGAAACAAAATTTACCTGTGTCTGTAAACGACCGACTATTTCTCTTCTGGCTTTCATAACATGCTGATCTTTTCCATGGATGACAACTGTCAAGCTCTGGTCCTTGGCACAGCTCATTTCAATTGACACATCTAAAAACATAATTGTCACCTTGTCACTAAATTTCATTCAAAAAATTAAAAGAAAAGTATTTCCAATTAACTGTATTTGCAATAATTTTTTAAGGGATTCAAGGAAAAACACACTTTTTATTTGCAACACTAACAGTACAGATTTTACAGCCTAGAGATTATCAAATAGAAAGTATGTCACCTCAATATATTCTGTAAAGCACAAGAAAACATCAATGCATTCTTTGAAAAGTATCGTCCCTAGTATTGTTATTTCACTGAGAAAGTTATCAAAATGAAGGTACACACTGTTGCGGGCCATTATTTCTTTACAGATCTTTGCCTGGTCAGTTTCATCTCCAAAACTCTGTTCATTGAATTCTTTGAATCTTCTTTCTTCCATGGGCACGGTAAACACCTAGAAATGGAGAATGTACTGTATAGATACACAAATCAATTGGGAACATGAAAAACTACTTAAAAATGCATATATTTAATGTTTATCATAGGTTACATTATAAAAAATTAAGAAATTGGATATTATTATAAATTTTCAATGAAACAAAGATTATCAGAAATATGATACAATTTTTGCTGTATGTCTATACCTGAGTGCAAGTTGATGTTTTCATTGTCATTTTGTTACTCCAGATCGTCTTTTCCATAGCTACAGCTGGGTGAGCCAGTTTGGGCCCCGCCCCAAATAGGGGGGCAGAAGCGAGAGGAGGAAAAGCCTCCCCGTACTGTTGGGGCTTGTCCGGGTCGTACGCCTCTGCATCGACATTTCGGACCACTTCTTCGTTTGTAGCCATGTTCTGAACTCGTTATCAATTGGGCGATTCCAAGTCGTACAGTACAGACTGAAATTAAGAAATACAACAATTGTTACAAATTTTCTGTATGAAACTTTTGTGGATAAAACAAGAAAGATGTCTACTTCAAATGACGTCAATTTATTATGATCAGTAGCAGATGTAAGATATTTTGGAATGAAACCAGCATAGAAACCCAAGTCAAATGTGCCAATATACATATTTAGTACTGAAATATGATTAATTTCATTTGCCATGTATACACGTAAAAAGTGTCTAGAATTTGGATGCAAGGAAATTAACAGTTGGCATTTCTTTTCAATATTACATGCTAAATAGACCATATGTCCAAGCATTAGCTTCAGGTTCAGTCAACAGGTCCAGTACACTCTGCCGATTGAGCTATATAGCTATAAAGACGACCTATATAGCTATACTTACCTATAAATTATAGCTGTATTGAGCTATATTTTCTCAGATTTCAATTTTCATTAAATTAAAGCAAAGTCGCATAAAACAATAAGGTTAAATGGTAATGTTGACTACAAAAAGCATACATTTAGATGTTTATTTTCATTTTTCATAAATGTAAAATTTCCGATTTCTTTACATCAGTATTTTTTAAAAAGAATACTTATATTTAATGTCTTTTGTTATCAACATAATGATAAAATCTTCTTTCTAAAGCGACTTTTGTTTTCCTTAAAAAAGCAAATCACATAAAAATAGCTCAAAAGTCCTATTTCACATGGGTCAATAGAGCTATTATAGGTCATTACAGCTATATAGCTCAATCGGCAGAGTGTACTCGACCTGGTAAGGTTACTAAACGTTAACTGTGATGTTGATGTTCCTTTTTTTTAAAATTAGCAGTTTATATGAAATTGTTTTCCCAGAAAACAAAATATTGGTTCATGGCGATACATGTAACAGTCTTGTTAACATGTTCTACCAACACATAGGCCAGAGCTTTCACTTGTTTGACCTTTGACATTGAGGAATTTCATAAATCAGAAAACATTTTCCTGTTTGGAGGGTCAGATCTAGAACAAGTCAAATAGCAATGTTCTTTTAAAACCAAGAGTCACACAAAGCTCAGGTACTCTAAACAGTCTGTTCCAGGATTTAAATAAACACCTTAGGCCTTGTGTCAGTTTGTCAACAAACTACCAATGTGCTAAACATATGGACTTTTGAAGAAAATAAACATAAGTTTAATTGTAAATGTTGCAACTGTTATGAACTGAACACTATACAAGTAGAAAAAATAAAAACGGCTTCATCATCAGACTTATTCGACACATTCATATGAAGCTGCGAATCAGAAATATACCTTGAATATAATCTTGTCAAAATTTATTTAACAGGTGCTGAAAATCTTTTAGGGTTTTCTGTTAAGAAATTATAGTTGCCCTGTTGTCTACTTGTACTACTTTAACAGATAAAACATCCATAATTTAACACACTACAACATATATTATCATTAAGTTGAGCTATGTGGTTGCTGTTAATTTTGTATGCTCAAGGATTGCAAAAATGGATGTTCTTATTCGTTAATATTTATTAAATAAAAAGGGCACACTTTTGTTCAAGTTTTGACTGCACAAAAATGCAACATAGAAAATACTTTTTTACAAATTGGGAAATGAATTGATACGACAGAAAAAAAAATGTACTTGCAGTGAAAATGATCGTTCAAGTATAGATCAGAGTTTTGTTAAAATGCTTTTAAAGCTTTGTGCCTTTGACGTTTTCTATTACCTGGCCCATCTTGCAACACAATTTGCAGCTCAATCTAAAATCAAAGTTGTGGCCATAAGACACATGGTCTGTATGGAGGTATTTTTATTCTCATTTTTTCCTGGGCATAAAATGCCACCACATAATATTTAGAGCTCCCCATCTAGTTCTGTTTAAGGAGGGACAGGATGGGGATGAGGGGCGGGGGCATTGTACAATACGTTCTTGGAGCAAACCGGTTTCCCATAAGTCAACTACATTCCGACTGCGAACGCGATATAACCCGATTCATTGATTATTTGAGACTAATGCAGTAAACTTAGTACTAATTCGATACATCAAAACTTTTCCATCATAAGGTAAATAGAAATGTTGACGTTACCCTATTACAAAACTGATCAAACCGGCACCACCCTCCTGACCTGTCTAGATACCTAAGGGTCCGGCGTCGATTTTTCGTGGAAAAAAATAATTCTATGTTGAAAAAACGACACATTTCACATCAGTATGTGATAATGTAACATAAATACTTGAATATTTCTATAAAATGACCACAAACACTACTTGGATTGTCGGAATTTTGACAGCTACATGAGCCACGTTGGCAGATTCAAGAAACCATGTTGACGTGTCTGACAGTTCGGCGATACTTACTGTACTGCGTCCGATAAAGTCCGTCCTAGGGTAAGTTTTCTTGCGTTTTAAGCTCCAATGTGACTGCTTGTCAGTCTGAAAAAGTAAAAATGGTTTTAAATATCTATACAAACAAGTTTTCAATCGACAGATATCACTTCAACAACATGTTTTTTACCTTCCACGAGAGGAACTAACTACTCGTTATGCATATACGGGATATCCTTGCGCGAGTCGATCGTCCACGTAAACACAATTTTGATTGGTCAATATTTAGACGAAAAGGTCAAAGGTGAATATATCATCCAGTAGACGCCTTTCTCTGTAACTTTGACGTCGTGGATGTCGGAGGGACTATTTATTACCTTTTCTGTAATGTTGAGGAAGAACACGCATGTTTAGATGAAAACAACTTACTCTACGGCTTGTTTATGAATTCTATTCATGATATATTAAGAATGTATTAAGTTAAGGTCGAATCTCTAATCTCAGTTCGGTCATGTGTCAAGCGACGCGAAATGTGACGTAACGAATGAAGGTTAAAGGTCTAATCCCGAATACCCACATAAGTTTCCAGATTACGTCCCTTTGATCTCATTCAGTCAGAGACGTGTATATATATATATATACTACCGGCTTTATATGTCTCTGATTCAATATGTAAAAATAAAACTTCTTCAAGTTATACGCCTACTTATTCTATTTAACTTTTCAAATATTTTTTGAAGCCTTTTTTTTATAAGACTTTAAAGTTTTATTTTTGGCATACATCTAACATCTTTCTTTCTCAATTGATAACTTTTTCGTCTTAAAGTGATTGGTTTAAACGCAAACAAAAAAAATACGTTTTAATGTTAACTTATTGCGTTGCCTTAGTAAAATATCACAAAATAATAATCATATTTAGTTAAGGGTTATTTTTCCTCAAACATCAAATGAATAAGTAAAATAATTATTAATTTATATTAAGAAATACTCTGAAAGAAAGAAAAAAATTGAAGAAAAGAACGTTCCAAGAATGAAGAATTTTCGTGATATTGAGGCCAGCGTCCCAAATGTGCTCAATACCCCTAACAACAAGCGACGGCCAAAGAGAGCGCGTTCCACTCCCAACAGTGGGAACAGCCGCCATCAACCCCCGGGGTCCCGGGCGCGCACAACGTCGAAGACAACACATGCCATCGCACCAAGGAGGAACCACGTCATCACCGATCCGACGTCATCCTCCTGGTCCAGGGGGATCCCATAGACGAGCGTAGGGAAGCACTTGTGTCAACTATTTTAATATATGGATGTGAAATCTGGGAATATGAAAATACAAAAAGTATCGAAAAAATACATTTACAGTTTTGTAAGGAATTTTTTAACATTCGGAAGAGCACCCCAATATATGGTGTATGGTGAGTTGGGAAGGTATCCCGTAGAAATTGAAATCAGTGTTAGAATGGTTATGTTCTGGCATAAGCTTATAACCGGTGGATCGAACTTATCTAGTGTAATGTATAAGTTAATGTATAATTTGCACCAGAATTCTGTATTAAGTTTTGAATGGTTAACGTATATACGGGATATTTTAAACAATACTGGATTTAATCATTTATGGACTTTCCAAATATCATGTACAATTAATAGACAATGCTTGAAAACTATCATTAAGCAGAGATTATGCGATCAATTCATTTAAAGTTGGTTTCATGATGTTGAAACTTCCTCGCGAGGGCAAGTTTACTCCTTATTCAAGTATCAGTTTAATATCTATAGAACAATATCTTTTAAAGCTTAATCGTAATGAACGAAAAGTAATATGTAAATTTAGAACATCAAATATAAAATTTCCTATATAAACAGGAAGATGGAATAGAGTCCCACGCGAGGTAAGGTTATGACCCCTATGTAATTACTGTGTTGGAGACGAATACCACTACTTATACCAATGTTCTAAGGTATCTGTTGTAGTTCTTAGACAACTTTATATACCAAATTATTATTATGTCAACCCAACTTATATCAAAATGAAAGGAATGTTCTCAATATGTAACATGATACTTTTAACAAAAGTAAGTAAATGTATACAAAGAGTAATGAAGCTACTTAATATCTCAAATAAGTTAGCTAAAAGAATTATTGAAATGGGTTGTTATTGTATAAATTGTATCATGTGTCATATAATGTGTGTACTATGTCCATCAATGTATACTATGTAATATGTGACCTCTTGTTACGCACGTATACATGTGACGTGAGTGTAAAAATAAAACTTGAAAAAAAACCTTGAAAACTCGGAATACCCTGCGGAACGCCACGTGGTCAGACTAGTGGCCAAATACCCTTTCCCGTCAACTCGGGGAATCAAACGCAGGCCGTGTTGGCGAAAGACGGGTATCAGATTTTTTTTCGGCAAGAAATATTGAGTGGTTAAGGAAACTTTTAACACTGTGTTTTAAGGTTTTACATGATCAATTTATCCAATCTTTGAAAAGTTATAAAATTGTGTAAACTATGAAATGTTTAAAAATGAGCTGAAACTGAAAAATTACATTATAGAATTACCAATTACGGTAATAATAAATTTACTTTTGATTTTAATAACACTGAGTGTAAAGCGTCCTTAACCACTCAATATTTATATTAATTTTGTTTCCATGGTAAGCCGTTCTTATTTAAGCCCTTATTAAGTACAGACTGTGGTAAGCCGCTGAAGTTTAAAAGTCTGCATTGCCGTTGATTTTGAAGTTCAGGTGGTATTCTATCCAAAGCGCCCGAGAAAGGTAGTGTACCGATTTATGCTGATATAAGAGATGCCATGTTACGCTCTGTTTTCTATGAAAGACTACAGCCAGTTCTTAAAGATGTTTCCGGACACAATTTAGTGATAAATGTGATTAATGAAATTATTAAAGCAACAAATTGTCGATTGATCTGAAAAAGAAATTGAAGCTATATGAGTTGGCAAGGTTTTTGTTACCAGTCCTGAAAAGTTATTCAATAATTATTCGAAAACCACTAGAAAGTAATTGTTCCAAAACATATGATACAAAATGGCATGCTACTAACTCTTTATAGATTATAATTATATATATATATATACTGTAAAGAATAATACAATGTTTGTAAATTGAATCACATAAGGTTGTACGTGTATTTGTTCTTATTTTATACTTGCCACATGTATACACAACAATTTGATTCCAATATGTACATTGTATAGATCATCACCTAGTTTTACACACTATCAGAGCGCGGAACAGCAGACAATAAACTGCCATGTCCACAGATCTGAAGATATGTCGATAATGTCCAAGAGGAAAGTGCCCCTGCAGGTGGGGGATCGAGAAAAGATTACACCTGCTGTTACCCACTGAATGTATCGTAAGAGGTGACTAATGTGGTGAGCCCCTGCAGAATTGGGGATTTGCTTTTGTGTCCTCTACTTGCAGCATTTGGGATATGTATCTTTCTTTCTACTTCTATCAACCTTTTATTTCCTAGCGCCTTAATTGCTTGGTAATACCTCACTTCTGGCTTTAATGTTGAGCGTTCGCCCACGTGAGGAAGGCAATGGGTTCTGTTCCCAGGTCGGGACATACCAAAGTCCTTAAAAACGGTAGTTGTTCAGCAATAAGGGTAATGACGACAACTAGTTCATCCGTTGTCAGTATAATGTGACCGGTTGGAATGCTGTGCTGGGTGCTTTCGGCAGGGTATTTCAGTCAGATAGCACTCTAAAGTCGGCATCAGATCCGCGCTATCACAAGGAGGCAAGTAAACCAACATACCCTGTCTCCGGCACACAAACACACATGCATGCATACACGACACACAACCTTAAATGGCATTAGCTCTTAATAGGACGTTAAACAAAATAAAACCAAACCAAACCACGGTGAAAGAGTTTAATATATAAGTTTTATAACTTGTGTATAATCTATAAATCACGGTTAATATTATGTTTATACTGAATGTCTGCTGATTTAATATGGATGACGTATTACAACTGTGTTAACACCAGTGTTTCCTCGTTTCGACCCTAAGATCTGGTTTGCCGGACAAGGCTCAAGCCCAATTTCTTGATGCGGTGATAAATCAATTTAACTTCACATCTTTTCAAAGACGTGAGGAGTCCAGGAGAGTCAGACTTAGATCATAATACTGTGGTGTGACTTTTGACCATGTCACACGATTTAAACAAGTTACAAGAAAGTGAGTCTGTGCAAAGAAGTAACGATAATGTTTTCACTTAAAATTCTCGTAAGTTTTTTTGTGAAAATGTGCAATGGTTTGTAGGACAAGGCACCTAGTACATATGCATAAAAATATACCAAATTACTGTCATATTTAGCAAACGAAACACTCAATAATGAATTTATCATGTCACTGATATTTGTATATGTAAAACCAAACAAACGTCCGATGTAAAGGATCATAAAGGTCCTGCATCGGAAAATAAAGTTAAAGGGAAGGTAAAATGTTGGAAACTATCAAAAGGTCTTTAAAGAACTAACGACTTAGAGCCAATCCTTGCAGAACAGCATCGTTTTTTGTCTATAAAATCAAAAGCTTCATTTCTCCTTTATAAAGCTTTGAAGTAAGCTATTTTGATTATTTATTTTACAAAAACAAACATACATTTGTAGATCGATATCTATCTTTATAATTATAACTGTATTACTACTGTATTCTTTTGTTGTACAAATCATGTTCAACTAACATACCAGTATATATTCAACAAATCAACCTTTTACAAATAATGATAAGGAGATGACAAACTATAGATACTCGGAATCCGGTTGCAGAACGTAAGATATTGATTAACATGGAAGAAGAAAAGCCAAACCATTTAAAATGCGGTTTTTTTTGGAAAAAGGACATTAATTGGAACACGAGAAAACTACATAAGTTATTGGGACACCGAGTTAACGTCTAATATCCCGACATGCGTGACTGAATGTTTCCATACTCTATCGTAGGAATATAATTTAAGTCACTAAGAATCATTCTAATGAGCAGAGAACTTGATGTGTTTATTATTATATATAACGATCCTACTTGAAAAAGGTATAACAATTACAAAAAAAAAGATTGATTTTCTTTAAACGACATTTAGAAAAACTCAATTACGCATGATTATGCTAGTATTGCACTTGAACATAACCTTAACACGCACGGCAGTTCCAGCATAACATCAATCTTAGTCTAACATATGAAGTTGCCATTTTGTTTCAAATTGTCATTATGTTCACCGAGAGAAGAAATATTCCACATCCGGTTCTGCGCAGAACGTTGCACACATCAAACAACAGGTTGAAAAGAGGAGTAACGTCACAGGAACGAGGCAGATTCCAATTGCAGTCAGAAACCAGGCTATGGAGGAAGATATACAATATATATTATAAAGCAGTTGATCCGTTATATGGCTAGTTGAAAATGAATTCCTTATTCAATTGGAATTTAAATTATGCAGAACCTCTGAAAGAAATTTAAGAAATACATGTATTTGGAATATGCAGAACGTCTGAAAAGTTAATAGAATGATGTGAAGTTATTTTTACATCTGATCGACAACAGGAATACATCAAAAAGGCCCATCAACCTCTCCTCCTGTTTGAGTACCAAAGTTAGAATAACCTTAATAATATGGTGTGGTTTTTTAAATTTAATACTGAAAGGTGACACGACTGCAATTCAAACACGAAATCAAGAAGGATTTACAAGTATACACGGGAACAAGTAACAGGTTAATAAAACCAGGTCTTCTGGAAGGGTAAGTGTTGTCTGTTTGAGGACACCAGCCATGTGACTCTAGAACAAATTCAGAATGTCACGTAGTCAAAGCGAGAACCGGGGCAGTGATAATGAATGAACAAGACACACTTAGGAGCAAAATGAAAAAAAGTCATATCGCACATTGATATCATGATGGTGACCATGGTCCCACAAACCTGACTACTTTATATTATATTCTGCACCACATAATCTTCTCAAATCTACACAAAATGTGCGCCCTATTGTCATGTCATCTTCTTTACTTATGTACATTGTTATAAGTCTGAATTACTACTTTTAAACTTAAAATGACACAAAACTTACTTGGAGGTGAATATAGTTTTTCTTTTCGAACATCAGTGATAAACACTTCTAGAAAATTTGAGGAAACGCCATAAGAATCAGAGCAGCAGAGTCTGACCCTGTAGTAATTGGATATCTCTTTATAGTCGAAGGCAGCTTGTTCTGTCGTAAACAGTTGGTAACCTGAAAAACAAAACAAAAACATTACAACTTCTTGAAAGATGACGTCACACACACAGGAGACTGCACCTTTACAATTTGGTGATAGATACAGTATGCCAAAAATGCATCACACTGCACCATACAGCTGTTCTGCCCTTCTAGGACTCATTGGTGATGCAAGGGGCCAACAAAGTTGGAAATTCTAANGGGGGGGGGGAATGTAGGAGGGGGTTCAGATGCGTAACACTCCGTAATTTATAAATTTCAAAAACTAATGGAGTACTGGTTAATTTTAAATTCATTAATTTGTAAAGTGTGTATAAGATGAACGTGCCGATACTCAAAAGAGATAACTGTGGCCTGTACTCTTTGATGCAAGAAACCCATTCGTCCTCTTTGTGAGTAATACAGTGTAACAAGAGAAAATTTAACACCAAGTAGTATGTGGTACGTAGGTGAGTTATTAAAAATGTAAAAAATAAAATACATACCATTATCTATAAACGCCAGTCTGAAGTTGGGCGACCAGGGCGTGACCTCAGACAGTGTGCAGCAAATGCTGTCATTCTCAGAGTAGTCCACTACATCAAGCTCGTACAACAAGGACGGTGTCGACACATCCTCAGCTATCGATATTTCCTCGGGCAAGTTTAGAAACATCGGTGGCTGGATTGGGAAGAAATGGAAACAAAATATATTCATATTACTCATATGTGTTGTACACAGAGAAATTTCAACCCGAGTGTATACAATGAGGTTTTATTATATTTAGCATTAGTTTCATAAAAGATCTCAGATTACGTTTTTGTTCAAACTTAGATATCTTCTTGTTTGTTTGTGTGGGTTTTCTTTTGTCTTGATGATGTCCTTAACTGTATTCCGTCTTTTCGTATTGCAGAGCTATCTTCTCTTGTGAGCAGGTATTGATTGGTGTTACGTTATTGTTTTGTGAGAGTAACGTCATCAATTTTTGAGAAAAAACGTAATTTTCTCACACAAACCAATGACGTAACAATCAATACCTGCTCACAAGAGAAGATAACTCTGCAATACGCAAAGACGGAATTGATCTGCCTTGGTTTTTTTTCTTTAGTACGCCTAGCTTTGCCTCAAAAGCACAAAGAGCGCTGCTTAGTGGAGGGAAATGGTACCAATGCTGGTTATCCTTTCTAGCTTATTTATTAGTAACAAAATGCATCATGCTCCAAAAGCTACATGTTTCTCAATTTAAGATTTCCAATTTCATTCAAAAGTTATTTACCATTTTACTTTGAGAATGATCATTTTATATTTATGACAAGATAATTTTAGATCGCAGGGCTTTTGAGGGAATTAAAACATCTTCAAAATTATTTTCAGTAATGTTCCAGAAAAGGCATACAGATAAACAGATACGTTCCCTGCTTATATAAAAAGTCCGGGAATCTAATCCCATAGTGATAGTACTTTTTAAGAAAAAAAGGATTTTTTTCTTAAAGTAAATGGACAACCCATCCCTAATTCTCCGTTAGAATTACAACATAGTGCTCTGGGGCCTCTATCGTAATACCTTAGGGTGACATTGTTGTATACTCGGGTATTTATCTTTTGTTTTCATGTTCAATAATAATGAAATTATAGAAAGTTCATTTACCTGAATATCTCAATAATTTGATGAAGTTTGATTCAAATGATTCTACGGCACTTAAAAATCTAACTTTATCTTTCAAACGCCCTTCTCTTACCGCATTATATGTTGTTATTTCCACTGTTGTTGTGGCTGTGTTTGAACACATATCCCATGATCTTAAAACAAGGGAAAATACGTTGTATTCCTTCGGCATTTTGGACTTTGTTTGTATATGAATGTCATCTATAAAACAGAAATTGTGATATTACTTTAGTAAGTTATAAAATAAATAAACAAATGGACCGCTGTATTTTTCTGTCATAAAATGTTCTTGCAAAGCAGCTACGATGATTATGTTGTATAAATATGCAATCCAAAACAAGCTCGCTCGGTTATTTGTGTTCTAAGAACTGATGTCTAATCATATGGATTATATATAAGACTCTTTCTTGCCCAGGGCGTTGAATAAGAAAATTCAACACAAGAAGTTTTCAAATTGGATATTGTTTTTGAACAATTTGAAAATCCCGAGGGTGGAATTTCCCTATCCTACATCCCTGTTCATGAAAGAGTATTTTTCTCTCATTCCAAATATCATAATCAGTTTTAAAACTACAATAAGGCGTCGGGTTTTCCCCGATTTCGTGTCGTTAAGTCATTGTTATTCCATTGTGACGTCACAGGCTTGAAACGAGGTGTAAGATAGAATTTTTCTTACACATTTTCATACCCTGGACAGTTTTGTCAAATATGCCTAGAAATGAGAGAAACATTTTTTTTTATCTTTAAGACACTTACGTCAGATAATCCCATGTAACGTTAAAAGGACAAGAAAAAGCCACAATGACACTATTAACATAAATAATCAACATAAGAGACCAAATAAGCGAATATCTTGATACTTTGATATAACATAGATATAGATTACTGAATGTATAGCTACCAGCCTATAAGTTTAAGGGAAAATTCCCAGTTGCATCCTTTATACTTGATAATTTCCCCCTACATTGAATCTTGGAAGCAAACATCCAAGATATCGAAAATATTAAAATCTCATATTCCCTTCACAAATGAATTATTCTAGAGAAGGGGTTCAGAATAATATACCGTTGATTTTTTTCGAAAAAACGCATCTGTATGAAATAAGATATTTTACTGTATGTAATAATAAAATATCTTACTGTATGTAATAAAATATCTTACTTGCAAACGTAGTATTGAGTTCGAAGAGTTCATGTGTGAATGAGTGTGTGAGGAAATCGTCGACATCTTCGTCTGTTATCCAGTACGGTAAGGCCCGTGTTCCTATTGGACTGAAGTCTTTTACTAGTGCCACAAACTCTGTTTGATTTACATACGGCATTGTATCTGAAAAAATAACATTTCAATAGTTCACATTCAGGTACTGCTAGTCCGCCTATAACAGTTTACTAATATTGATATTAAAATGTTTTCGGAAAGACATTTTTATCAAACCACAAAATTTAATTAAACGAAGCTGAGTGAATAAATGTCCTGGCATATTCAAACAATCAGACAATTAATTTGAAATGTGTTAAAAAAGTGAAAATCTTCAAAACAAATTTTATCAAAAAGTCATTGCACCGCAAATTTTATCCGACGTTTAAATATATCATTGTATGTATTTTCTATGCCATCTTTGTAACATAAATTTTGCATTTAACAATAATCTGTAAAGCTTACGGAATAAACTAAACTTTAACTAAAATGAGTTTTTTCACCATCCCAAATATTCCAGGGGTTACGATCACACACGCTCCCTAGAATATTTAATGATAAATTGAAGGCACGCTGCTAGCTTTTTGATTGGTCTCAAGTAAAAAAGACCAATCGCTAGGCAGATATATGTCCTTTGGCGATTACAGATCAAAGCATATCAATATTACGCTGAGTTGTCGCGAGATTCTTTGATGTACACCAAAGGATCAAACTAGCCTTCTTGCCTCACCCACAAGGTGGCGCACACCGAAACATCGATTTTATCATAACATATTCCAGGAGTGCATAAAGCGTAAGTGAGCAAAACCGCTGATATTGAGGATGAAGTTCCTTTACTTTATGCTATACTTTCCCTGTGGATGAATTTAAGTAAAGAAAAACGGCCATTCCGATATTTTGAGAAGCTTAAACTCTTAAACTTACTTGCGTGTGTGAAGAACCGTATTGCATAAGCTCGGTCAAGAATTTCAGGCAAACTTTCCCAGTCGAATACTTGTAATTTGGAGGGTCTGGTAGAAAATAGGGATTTGCGTGTTTTGTTCGGACACATCTCACCACTACAATCTGCGTATGGTATCATGTTATCGCCTGGACAATACCTGTATATTGTATAGAAAAGAGGATCTAACACGAGTACTCATTCCATCCTTTTGATGGACCGAACTTAAGGATCCCTGTTCCACTGTAGGCAAAATCACGTGAGAATTCCATTCTGGATTTTCTTCGCATGTAGAGTAGCATCCTCATGAATTCGTTTCAGGTATAATTGTAGCTTTATTGGTCTGGGATACTACCGTTGGTCAGATAATTCAGTTTGTTAAAGCGACCTAAGATGCTGTGCTCAACCCAAATTTCTTGTTGCGTTGAAAAACTATAAAATCGTATTTTATCAATGATTTGGAAGAATTTTGGGGTGACTTAAACCCCAATAACGTATTTGGTGTTTTCACTTGACTTTTTTTCTCAAAATGATTAAAGCGAAATAAAAAGAAAACCGGTTTGAGGACAGAATCCATGACTGAGCATGGAAACGACTTCACGAATAAAAGCTTTCGTTTGCCTTTCTTCCTTTTTTACATTTATAACGCTGTTAATAATTTTTGTTAATTAAACCACTCTCATTGCGTTTTTGCGTAAGATTTTTCTTTTCTGTTCAGAAATATTTCCAAAGCAAAGGCATTTTTCGGCATTGGTACAGGGATCCTTAAGTGAGCTTATTACACTTCAGATGGATTGGAAACTAGTTTATATCACTTGAGCATATCATTTATTAATAAAAAAAATAGCACATTTTGTCACAAAACCGCTTAATTTAAAAAACAAACAAAGAAACTAGTTTCATTGTGACTTCATAAAGTAATCTCCTTCTTACTAGTAACATCATCATGGGTGTTTTAAAATATATAACATGTTGTTTCAACACCCTGTTACACTGTACAATGATTAAAAGCGTTGTTGATTATCTTATTCAAATCATGTCACTAAAGTTACCTGCAGGAACAATCTAACACCTTCTCTCATACTTTCATTATTTATATATTCTGTCGCATTTATTATCATTCTGAACATTAAAGGCCTTTGGTGACGCCATTACATACCATCCGATTTCATCTCCTTCTAAGACAGTGATTCGTTCGCCTGGCGGGAGTGTAAAATTCACCAATTGTCCAACTTGCGATTCTATTATAAGAACACGTTTACTTTAGAAGCAAACAAAACGTAGTATGTAACATACATCTTATCCATTATGTATGATATTACTCTTTATTAAAATTGGATAACGACTGACAAATCACTTTATCGCCATTTACCAATCTGTAATATTTGACCGGTGTCTCATTTAAACCAAGGTTTTTAAGACAAAAAAACAACTATATTTGGCCAAATCATCCAGTCTGATCTCTGTTAATACATGCTTCACTGTTATTGGTTTTACTGTAAATTTAGCAATTTTCTAATTTAGTTTACAATAAAATAAACAATATAGACCTACCGTTAACCATATATGTTATAGATGAAGCCAACAGGTGCAAGCCGTTGAATTGTTTTCGCCATATATGAAAGTCAATAAGCCCAGTTGTTATGGGAACGAATTCCCATGCTGATATCAACTCACAACAGGGAATATCCCAATTAATATCCAGTAGAATGTAGGCGTTCTCTGGTAATATACAAAATTATTAACATAAAGTAACTGGGTTTTTTTCCGCCTAAACTTCAGATTAAAACTGACGTATATCTATGCATGATATTACACTAAGGTATCTATAAGATAATGATACTATCATAATATTACTGTTATGACGTTATAAACAATGATATTGCAATAGGTAATTGTTTCATGTTATGTCTGAATAAAGTGCGGACTGTCTCGAAATTTGACAAATACCTTTGTCAGCATTGTCGCTATTACCTATTTGCTAATATACATTGTACTATAAGTTACATGCATCCAACGAAGTGCCTATATTGGTTCATCCTGTCGATATTTCTTATAAGACTACTATATAATTGGTATTACTAGTCAACCATATTACATATAACGGTTCATTGTCACATTTGTTTAAATATTCATTATTTCCTACCTTTACTGGTGTCATTGTAAATGCTTATATTCCTTGGGTCATCATATCCAGCATAATGGTGTCCACATACTGTACAACAAAATAAAATAAGTTTATTTACAACATAAAACATAATATATATAACACTTTTGTATCTACTTCTAATTGACAATTTCATCCTCGAAAAATTCCGTATTCATGAAACCGCTGAAATGATCAAAATGATATTCTGTGCTCAAGCCCAATTTCTTGTTCTGGTGATTAAATATTTCAATTTCACATTTTGTCTATGATTAAGAAGAAATGTTTGAGATATTCAAAGCCGAATACTGTTTTCAGTGTTTAAACTTTTCTTTTTGACCATGTCATACGAGTTAAGTAGGTTAGAAGAAAGTTGGCTTGAAAACACAAAAACGATGTTGAGCATGATAACGGTTTCATGAATAAGGTCCCATGTGACCTCAATAAGGAAACAAATAAGTAGTTTATTAATATTCAAAGAGAGATATTCAATCAAAGAAAATAATTTTGATGTATAAGCATGCAGTGGTCGGAGTTGTACCTCATTTTTGTTGTCATGTGCTCATGCCCTGTATGACTTCACTGTTGCTGGGCCGTTAAGCAATCAACTAAATAACTAATTTCAATGGCCAAACGCATTCAAATGAGTTCTTTGCTAGATTAGGAAAACCTTATATTATTTTACGTGGTAATTATCAGCTTCGTGGTATCATGAAATAAATACCAGGGCATGGTTCCGTCATGCATGCCTTTGAATCATCTGGTGAGTCAGGGCAGTATAACCCAGGTGAGACAGTAGTGGGTGTATCACATGTACGTCTGCGTGTCCTTGTCCCTCCACCACAGGTGACAGAACAGTAAGTCCATGCTTGCCACGTGCTCCATACACCGTCTCCTATCAACAACAAAACGTCAGGTTAAAAGTTTGAAAAATACAAAAAGGAATTTTATACCACATTTTTTGCCAAATAGTATTTCTGATAAAAGGATTAGTGGTCATTATCTTGTAGATATAAAATAGCAGCAGCTTATGGAGAGATATAGAACATAAACTTGTGCGACTTGTGGGACTTATCAGGTAACGATAGATATGGGGAGACACATGCAAGACTTTAAGTCTGTCCCGTGGAATATATTATGTAACTTATTATCTTTACACAGGAGAGATAAATGTCCTACTATTAGTGGTTCTTATCATGGACATACTTATACCAAACCAGTTGGCCTTATCATAGACAAGTATATGTACAACGATTGACCGTAAAAAAGGAGGACGAGTGTTTTACTAGTTGTCATTTTCTTGAATACAAAACTGCACAAACTAATAGTGGTCTTCACCATGAGTGATAAATGCACGACTAAAGGTCCTTTTCATGAGGATACAAATGTACAATGAGTGGTCCTTAACGTGAAAAATAAATGAAATGACGAGAGGTCTATATCGAGAGACAAATCTGTGACTAGTGGGCCTTATGATGGAATGGTAGATGGATTTATATAAAATGTTAACACTTCTCTCACCTATTTAGAGTAGATACTCTCGACGATATACATTTGATCTCAATAGCTGACATGTAATTACATATCAACAATTTTCGATTCATCGTATTCTTTAACACGTAGCGTATTGTCAGACTACATCTTGTACATACCAAATACCAAAGGATGTATCTCTATTTTGTAAAACATATGCAAGTGTTCTTATATATTGACATCACGCGTTGAAAAAGAACCTAAACAATGACAGGCGGAATAATAGAGTACAAAGTTTTAACATCTTTAATTAACATACGTGCACAATATAGAGTTGCGTTCCCTTGTTTTGCGTATCTCCAGCAGGGGTCTCCAAAATCGTTGCTGTTGAAACTAAAGGTGCAGTTTTCGTTGACGCCATGGCATAACGACGCGAGTTTCGTTGTGGCACTGGTATCGATACAGTCATTTACGTCGTTTCCGTAAAACGCAGACTCCACAAAAACGTAATACCCTTTCGGACACACCATTTGGTAAATTGTATTGTTCACCATATCGCCAGTATTATATTCTGAAAATCCACAGCAATCTCGTCAACAATTTATACAATCAATGATAATTTTTCGTTTTAAATACATTGTATTCGTTCTTTAAGATACATTCAAATCGATGTTTTATCCATGAGATACATAAATGAAATAAATCATTTTCATATGTCAAGATGTATTTTGTTATGATGCTACATAATCATAACAAATAAATCAGAGACAATGTAAAGAAACATTTTTCATTACAAGAATTTTTCTTCTGGGGCGGATCTTTTTTTGCTTTCAATGGTTCTGAAATCGATATAATCAATATATCAAAATTTTACATAACTGATAAAAAAAACATTCACGTGTGGATATTTTCGCGCTAATATAATCAACGCGAATAATGCAAATAAACAGTATTTAATATTAAGCATATAGTCAGAAAAAACATTTCGAAAAGAAAATGTTGAGATTTGGGGGTTTTTTCATCACATAAAACACTGCGTTATTACGGATATTTTTCTGATTACACGTTTGCTACCACATACCGTCACATATAGGGAAATCAGGTATACAGTCGACTGTCTCCGATGCTTCTCCTGGACAGTCCAAGCCCTCTCCTACTTTAGAGGGGTTAGTACACTGCCGAACCCTAGTCTGAGTACCGGCAGCGTAACAGGTAGTGCTACACACTGTCCAGTTTGACCATTCCGTCCAACCACCGTCCACTACAAGGAAAAATGAACATAAATACAACACAAATCAATTAACAATATATTACAGCAGCATAAAATAACAGTAGTCCCTTGGTAGGGTGAATATGTTTTATATCGCCTTCGTGTTTAAAGGGGAATAAATACTTCAAAATGCTACTTGAGGCAAATGTATCAAAAATAACAATATAAACCAGCAACACATTTGTGAAATAGAATGCATGCTTTCACAATGCTTGAATTGCATAACCAATGGAAACGCAGTTTATTTACTCACGATTTTCACATAATATTCCGTAAAAGTCTCCCGTGCATTCACAGTCATACGTTATGCCCCTGTCGTAACATGTCGCACCATTTGCACACGTCACCATACTACAGTGGTCCTCCATACCTTAACAACATACATGTAAGACATTTTTTCAAATATCAGTGTTTACTTTTTATTTATCAAAATACATATATTGTCTAATTTTTATCATAAATGTTAAGATGATTTGATGAGACTTAACAATGGAAGCTGGTGAAACCAGATTTCTGAAACTAAAAATGTATAATTGCTGGACGCTTCTAGATGATTATAAACTACATTGTCAGTTATCAGAAAAAGTTAATTCTAACTTAACACTTGAAACATAGTCTCCACTATATATTAATTTGTGATATAAACGTTCACTTTGTTTTGATAATTATACCAACGACGTCGTGCTATTAATCACTTTACATATTTTCACAGTCTCTGTTTGTAAGGAAACAAAATCAATTCTCCAACTAATTTCACATATTGTTTGACAAAAAAGGGAATAGTTTTTTTGTCTTACATATAATTACAACACGATTGGAAATATATTACTATATTTCACCTAGCGTAAACTGTCCACAAACTTTTCAAAACGTGTAAATAACAAAATAGATGCGGATAACTTACCTACAGATATCACGAATACGTCTGCAATCGCCATATCTGTAACATGATAACACTCGTTTTCAGACTTTTAGAAACATTGTATTTGCTGACCAATTCTAATCCATGGGAGTTGTATCTTGTGTAAATTTTGTATACTTATACATGACAATATACAGTCAATGTTGCTATTGATACGATATTATATCAAATAAATGATATAATGTTATTCTAGATGGAGGCTTTATACTATGAATAACTGAAAAAGAAACATTGCGTTACGTTTGCAATTTAAAAATTTGGTCATACGCTATCAAATTTAACCTCAGATTGATATGAAACCCTATTCAATAAAGGGAGTAAAACTGAAATTGTATTTCTTAATTTGAATAGTTGAGTCAGATTATGGAAAGGTAACACGTCGAAATATACAAATCGACAATAGATATAAACAAAATCCGAAAGTTAAGACACCAATACAACAGGACAAACACACATGTAACACAAAAGGCAGAGCCAGGTCAGCCGAAAGTATGTCCAGTGTTACAGGTATCACTTTGAAGAAGTGTCCCTTCGGATACAGAAACAATGTTCGGCTATCATTTATTTAAGACATTGCTAAACAGCCGATATTAATATAACCTTTCTATAATTTTTCAACTTATATCAATCACTCTTGTTGGCCCGAAAGTAAGCGTGGGGGAGAAAACCAACGGGATCGGGCAGGTGACCCAATACCATTCCACGTCCGATCGAGGAATCGAACCCCGGCCGCTTTTGTGAAAGCCAAGTGCGCTGTCCACTGCGCTACCCGACCATCAATCTGACCTGTTAAACAGCCTTTAGACAGGTAAGATACAAAAATGCTTACTTGTGTTAATTTCAAACCCGTTGTTGTTGTCCGAGTAGAGAGCGTAAGGTGTAGCTCGTCTCTGTTCCCAGTTACATCCTGATCCTGCCTCCATTATCCCAAACCAGCCGGCATCAGCACTACAACCGTTATACTCGTACTCGAGGAAGAAGTAGCGCTGTAGGGCGTTATCTCTGTTGGAAAAGTAACAAGTATGTTCACAGAAGGTTATTATAGGCATTGATAACCATACTGTAAAGGATGTTTCAGCATATAAAAAGTGTTATATGACCAAACGTTAGTGAAACGTGTAACCAGCTGATACCAAGACCAAAACTGATTGGAATTCATTAATAGTTTCATTAAAAAATAGTTTTTGTATGACTCATATGACCTGTAATCGAAATGCATTCAGCACATCCTCTTGTAAATGGTACTTAGCATATTTGAGAGTGTATACATGTTAGCATATAGAGTTAAATGTTTTACAAAATTATTCACAATAATACATGGTAAAGAATTATAGTTTCGTTTGAATACGTTGGGTTTTACTTCGATACGACTGTTTTATGCATGTATAGCTTCAACTCATTAAACCTAGTGATAACATGTATTCTAAACATGATTGAAATGTGAGTGTTATACCCTGGTATACTGCAGTGGATCGTCGGGGTGTCCCCGTTTAGGTCTTTGTAAGACGTATAAAGAATTCTGTCACAGTCAAACCAGCTGACCTTATCAGAACCATGAGCATCAAACACGACGTAGGCCCGTTCTACACCGGACGAATAAAAAGAGACTCGTACCTTCAAAGAAAAAATCGTTAATATATACTGTGATGACACTAGCTGAGATTTTGTGATAAAATTAAGTCGTATTGTAGCGTTTTGATTCATTTCGCGTGTTTGAAGGCTAGTTCCTGTGGACTATCGGTAGTATTTCATTATAGGCCCTATGATGGAAACGTAAAAGAACCAGTATAAACTACTTAGATTAACGTAATACACAGGTGATTGGACCATTTGGTAATAGATACAGTAAGCCAAAAATGAATTTCACTGCATCATACAGCTGTCCCGTCCTTTCAGAACTCATTGGTGATGCTTGGGACCAAAATGATGGACATCCCAATTGGTCAATTGGACGTCAGAATGGGAGGCGCGTAAATCCCTTAATTATAATCATTTCAAAATTTAAAGGAGTATTTGTTAATTTAAGTTGAAAAAACGAGTAAAAGTGTTTGAGGAGTGCCCCATGGCAGACTATGATTTAACGATCCTGCGATATAAACATATTAACTCCAGTCAGGTATTCTATTAAAATATACTAACGGTTTGATATGAAGACTTTGTATTCTGGTACGCGCAAGGATTTAAGGATTTAATTAAAGATTTTCTGCTAATCAAAATGGCACACGAAATATTAATCATCACATGCACATAACATACAATCCTAATCTATTTCTATATCTAACTTATTTTTTTTAATGTATTGGAAAAAAGTTCGTTTTACTTACCGAACGAATATAGAAATTATTCCAGGAATCAACAACGCTAGATTTGAAGGACTTTGTTCCATATTGGAAAGATAATGCGTCCTTATCAAACTCATTCAGTGTGTAACCTTTTGTCCAAAGGTCATATATACCATGGGCAGGTGATACTGATTGGCCAAGTGCTACTTTCATAACTGGAAACCAGCCAATCACAAAAACTCCTAAAACGTCAGCTGCTGGGAAACCAGTGTTGTCCCATTTACCACCTACAGAATATATATAATTTCAAAATTATCATATAAAATCAATGGTAAAGTCCCCTTTCTATTTATGGAATAAAGAGATAACAAACAATAATTAAATTCTTCTCAAACTGAATATATCTTTCAATTCAATTGTTGATATTATGCTTGCAATTTAATGCCACCGAAAATTATCAAAAGTCGTTTCAAAGAGCAGGCTAATGTCAATATGATTTATCCTATTTATGAAACGAACTTTTGTAATCGAATTACATGTTTTTAAGTCAATATGAATGTAATTTTTTGTGATATGGAACACTTGCGTTTTTCGCTTTGAGTTTTTCAGCCCGCAAACATCAACACGCGAATATTGATTTGTAGATTATACAGATTATAGATAAATATAATATGTAAATTTCACTAATGACAAGGACAAGAGTCAACGGGAACATTTTCACACACGCGAATTTCTACTTTCGCAGAATAGTGTGAGATAAGATAAGGGCCATTTATTTCTTTGTACCTGACTCCAGCAGACCAGCATTCGTTGATGCGCTGTGCAGAAAGTACGGTTTCGGTCTGACGTCACTATCAAATGAACACATTGGCGAACCCCCTGAGCTGTCCACAACCATCATCCAGGCCCGAAACCATGGACAGCTGCTGTCGTCATTCACTATCGCGAATGTGTTCATTCCATCTCTGTCATAAATATAAAAGTATAACAATTGCTGAAAGTCAGGTCAGAATCACGTGTTATCACTCTCGATACACATATTTTCTCTGCACTGCTAGAATATGTCGTGAAAAATTCGGAGACTCATTACAAGCTTTTTGATTGGTTTCAGGGGGAAAACAAAATCTTATCAAACATTTGGCTTATACCTGTCCTTTGATGATTACAGAGGAGTTACTCCAAACGTCAAAGCCTATCGAATTACCGTTACGCTGCCCCGCGATTCCTTTCATCTCCGATTGATTACTTCTATCTTTCATAAGGTGTCGCGTAAATAGTTTTCAGTAGCATATTCCATGGGCACAGGGAAGTAATCGACATAAGAACCGTTGAATTTCGAGGATGCTACGATTTATGATATGAATAATCGTAGTCTTAAGGAATACATAAACGGCGATAAATGTATATGTACTTTTCTTTCTAAAAATGAGTTGTGTATCTCGGTGTGTTACTACAAGCTTAACGCTCCTCATGGAACATTGAGATTACCTAATGATTCTTGCAATGGCATTTCATAAGTAAGTTTTCAATTGTTTCAACGCAATGAGTCCGTGCTACAGCTAGAACAAAACCAATCACACATTGCTAAACAGTACACGTTTCACTTGCCAATGAAAACTGAAACGTGACGTCATTTTTTTAAACGTCTGCTGTACTGGACCAAAATGTTTTAAATTATTTTAAGTATTTGGCAGTAACAGAAGAAATATGTATCTTAGTTAATTTTTGATAGGTTTTGCACATGTTCCAGATCCAGAAATGTTTCGTAGAGCTGAATATTTAATTCTGTTTCTCATTTAAAGTGGAATATAAATTTAATTTTTATTACCGGTCTCGGACGTTATATTTACGGGCAAACGAACTATAACTGGTCCGATCTATTATGTTATGTTTAAGACGATGTAAAACCAGAATGACCAGAAGGAAAATATTTTAAGAGATGGACGGTAAGATATTATAAACTGTTGTCAGCTCTACATATGAAGACAATTTCTTACTTTAACATTTCAAAACGTAACTGGTATTTCTGAAATCATATAATGTTACTGGTGTGTTAATATGTGAATGGTTCTGAATGCATATAATAAAAATAAACAAACCCTGATATGGAGCACGTTGACTTTGCTGCCGCGGAAACATCTGTGTACTGGGAATACAATATATTGGAACTAGAGAACCAGGATGTCTTGTCGGTGTCTTTACCATTGAATACCACCCATGAAACTTCCTCAGCATTTGTGTAGAAAGAATATTTTACCTGTAAAAATATTAATCACACAGATATCATTATTGAATTTTTGCAACGCTTTTACACTTGACTTTTACATGTGACAGTTCATTGTCTGCTGCAACCGTAATCTTTGTATCAGAATCTTCTAGACAGAAATACTTTACTAGAGCGTTCATGGCGGATGGCACATGTGTTTAATTTTATTCTTTAATGGGGTGGGGTGGGGAGGGGATGCCATAATGTCCTCTGATTTCAGGATGCCATAATGTCTTCTGATTTCAGGATGCCATAATGTCCTCTGATTTCAGATTTTTAATTGATTTCATTTCCAGATTTGCGGCTTTGTGTTGACACTGTCGTAAACTGCATGTTTCAACTTTAAAATGTTACCGTACCCAAATTGGGATCATAATTCATACCATTTCAATTTTTATGTTTAAAGAATTTTTTTGCAAGTAATTTCTAAAAATATTGTACTTTCAGTGTCATAACCCAGTTAAGTGTAGAGGTTAATAATTAATATTTACATTCTGTATGCTTAGACCCATTGACAAAAATTACATTCATAAATGCATAACACAGGTGTTCATAGAATCTCAGCACGTGGGAACTGATAGTAACCTGATCACACTGCGTAGTAATACACTACAAAAACTACTCACTCGGAACGACCGACCTAGATGCTTAATTCTTACATCTTAAAATATTATTGAACTGTGCTTTGTGAAATATCCACGTATTCACGTGTCCTGTGCTACAAATAAACATTGAATATGGAACTACATTTTGTTGTGTTATTGTTGTTGACGGTTGCTAAGATCTCTCACGATAGTGTCACATTTCCCCGCGAAAAAACACTGTTCTCGCCACTGCGTTGCACCCGTGTATAAGCAGGAACAAACCCTGTTTATTTGTTTTATTCGTTGTTATATCGATCCACTGAAAGGATTCGTCAATGTAAATATAAGGAATGATATTTATTTTTTCAACATTTATGAGGTCATAACAACAATGGGTTTTTGGACATATTTTACATGAATCGCTAACGCGATTCATTCAATATGTCCATAAACCCATTGTTGTTATGACCTCATAAATGTTGAAAAAATAAAAATCATTCCTTAAATAATAAAAAAATGTTTTGTACCATATCAACAATCATGAATGTGTCCGTCCACTCCTCTATCAGTCCTGATTTATATGTCTGTCCCAGAAATGTTGTGATCGTCCGTGCGGATGTGTCATTATCTCGCTCGGTGTCGTTGCCTTCCCACAGATCTTGTAAAGAGCCTGCCAAGGGAGGCGTACCATCAACACCCTTAAACACCATGTGCCAGTCTGATGAACGAACAAGAAGTATGACAAATACATTTATTACAACAGTATCAATGGTTACAACAAAAGAACGGATACTTATGTCAATAAAAGTCAGTTATATTTGTGTTGTTTATGTTGTGGTAGAAATACGACGTGGGGTATAATGTACATCGGTTAAATAATCCGAGGCCATGTCAAAACATGGGCTATATGTCAAAATGGTTAGAATATGCTTTACAATATTAGCCCCGGTGTTCTATAATGCACTAGAAAATGTTGAATAATTCGAGCATTGTTTTGTGATAAAAACATTCATTACGGAAGGACAGACTATGGTGTGTTCTCATCCTTCTGTTTCGCTCAGCAAAATCGAGGACCATATGTACTCTACCTGGTAAAGTGTTATTTAATGAATGATTGTATGTCATAAATATACCAACGAATTACTCAAAAATATGAAATGAGTCGTAGATTTCAAATAGAGAAAATAAGTGGGACCAGCAGACGTGCAATCGAAAACAATATTACAAATCATATATACAAATATTCAAAATAAATAAATAAATACTTACCCATTACAAATATAGCCAAGGCATCGCCATATCCTGTATTTCCTGGTAAACCGCAAATTGGGAAAAAGTAAAACGTAAAATAGCTGATAACACTGTGAGCATAAGTCAACACGGATTATCAGGTCACACGGATTATTGGAATAGTGTTATGCACTGCGCGCATTTGCATGGCTTAAATGACAATAATACCGTGTATAGTTATATACCAGCAGTCGACAACAAAGATTGGTGTAATTTTTACATGAAGACAACTAATACAATGTTTTGTATTATGATTTTTGTCATATTAAGTGAATACCCCGAAATCATATCTTTGCGTATGGACTAGTGTCCCATGACCTATTGTGACGTCATCAAATGATAGAGAAATGACGTTAATTGGTGCAGTTTTAAGTATTAAGAACAACACTGAGAATTGCTTTTTGTAGCATTTGCAATATTTCTTAAACATGCTATTGAAAGCATATTTGTTATCATTTCATATGAGATTTATGAAACTTTAATTTGTTTTAACAAACTTCCCAGAGCTCGCTAAAGTAATAAACAAACATTTCGAGGATGTTACGATTTATGATATGAATAATAGTAGTCTTAAGGAATACATAAACGGCGATAAATGTATATGTACTTTTCTTTCTAAAAATGAGTTGTGTATCTCGGTGTGTTACTACAAGCTTAACGCTCCTCATGGAACATTGAGATTACCTAATGATTACGTAATGATTACCTAAATCGAGAACGTGTTATTCTCATATATGGTATGATATCATCGCTCTTAAAAACATTGAGATTACCTAATGATTACCTAATGGCATTTCATAAGTAATTTTTCATTTGTTTCAACGCAATGAGTCCGTGTTACAGCTAGAACAAAACCAATCACACAATGCTAAACAGTACACGTTTTCACTTGCCAATGACTACATCAATGCTACACCAATATTATAAAGTAATAAATGTATACAAACCATTGTGCCAGGTGGCGTAGGTGGAGTCAGTAGAGTACATTATATAGGGCAGTGGTATTTTCGTAGTATCCCAGTCATCACATCCATTACTGGCACCGACGTCTTTAAACATCAACCATCCCGCGTCGCCTTGGCAATCGTCATACTTCTTATTGATAAAGAAATTTCTTTTCCATACACCTGTTTCCCTGTAACAAATCATAACAATTAGTATTAAGAATTCGAAGTTCTGTTTGTTAATACTGATTTAACAATTTAGGAATTATGTTAACTTAACTGTCCTTTATCAAACTATTAAAATATTATCCATTACTATAGACTTGTGGAATGAGTTTTTATCATATTTTCGTTACGTCGGGGGAGGAGGGAGGGGGGAGGGGTAATCCAAGGGCCAAGGATGGATACACGTGCTCCACATGTGGCACCTGTATCATGATGTTTCCTGTCAAATCAAGATTGGTAATTAGGTCAAGCAAAATACGTTGAGACACATTTGGTGAACGTACTCTATGCCACAAACATTTGGGTTGCCCGTCTGAAGGTCTGTCCAGCTGGAATCTATCACACGAGAGCAATCCATCCAGCCAGTTCTACTGGTCACACCAGCCGCGTCGAACACGACGTAAGTTACCTCTTGTCCATCTTTGTACACCGATAATCGAACCTGCAAATAAGGGGAAAGGCTATATGGAAGAAGTTATTTAGATATAAATTCAAAAAAAGTAATACAAATCGAGAACGTGTTATTCTCATATATGGTATGATATCATCGCTCTTAAAAACATTCAGTATTAGGTGACACCGAGGCAATGAACATCATTAAAAACTTCTTTAATAGCATATCATTATCTGTTGATAGCCATCTTCATCGTAGACATGTATTCCTTTACCGCTGAAATGCTATGCTTTGTAGCCCAGTCGTCCCAAATGGCGGACTTGTACAGAGATCCACCAGAAGAGAAGTCACGCATTGCTGACACACTGCCGTCATTGTAAGAGCCACTGTCCTTTAGGAATGATACCACGTCTGTGTGACCGGATGGAGCGACGCCACTTGGGACTTTGAACACTAACCTCCAGGCTAGAAATCAAATATCAAAATAGTGGTGAAAATTGCAGTTTTAAATCGATTTTTTGACAATGAAGTCAAGCGGCTTTCAGTGAGTGAAATTTTATTGAGCAAAAGCTGTGACGGAAACGGAAAAGAATTAATCAATTGATAGTAATGGTTCTACATAAAGCGAAAATATCGAGGACAATTACACACACCTAAGTAAATTTAACTCATTTGTAATGAAAGATCAGAGATGAATTTTACCCAAAATCCTCATAACTAGAGATCATTAATGAAATTACCAGTAAATCTATGTGTAATACTTACGACCTCTGTGATGAACAAGTTGTGCATTATCTGTAGAATAAAATAAATCGTACATGAGACATCATATCAGATAAGCTATGATATCATATACTAAGACAGGCATATATCAACAGTTCCTTACCATACCACCCGTTCGATTTGTATAACATGCAAAACCAACCTCCCTTATGAAACATTTCTTAATCAACTAGCTTCACCGAACAAACAATTTTCAAATATGCTGTAAGTTTTTTTTCGCAATTATATTTTGACACGATACATTATGACAGGTATAACAAGTAATGCACCAGGAATGTAACACACTCCTGTAGCACTTGTTTTCGCCCTGGTCTTCTATTCGATTTCTTGAAATCTTTGCTTTCGCGTTGATATCTTTAACGTTAAGTTCTGGTTGTTGTCCTTTTAATATGTTTTTTTTCTAGAAATGTCATTGCGTCAGTGTGTATCGGTGGTCTATATGTGGAAATTCAGCCAAGGAAATGAACAAAACTGTTTTATCTACTTTTGGTTCCGATTATGACATAAGGCGTTGCGAAATGGTATATTTGTTATTTTTTATTCCAGTGAAAGGTTATCATTTGGTATCAAAATAATACCGACGTCAACATTCAGGAAAAAGCATAGACAGTCTTATTCCGTCTTTGCGTATTGCAGAGTTTTCTTCTCTTGTGAGCAGGTATTGATTGTTACGTCATTGGTTTGTGAGAGTAACGTCATCAATGTTTGAGGAAACGACGCAATTTTCTCACTCAAACCAATGACGTAACAATCAATACCTGCTAACAAGAGAAGATAACTCTGCAATACGCAAAGACGGAATATCGTGGCACTGCTATGATCATGTAAGATGAGCATAAGCCACATTATTGCGCCTTTAAGATTTGGTTATAAATACAATATACAAAAATTGAATACATTGCACCATACAGTAAATTCTTTCTTCTAGGACTCATCGATGATGTTAGGGCCAAAAACAGCTGAAGTACCGATCGGTCTTAACTACTGTTGAAACCAGAAGCGGAGGTGTGTATACAACCCCTTAATGGTGTGAATTCCAAAAATAATAGAAATATTGTTTAATTTCTAATTTGTAATAAGTAAAGTGTGTATGTTACCAACCGTGTCACTACTCAAAAAAGATAACTGTGGGTATCTAAGTTACGGTAAACCTCGGTAACTAAGAAATCCACCAGCAAAGTCTACCACCTTGTATATAGGAAATATATGAACGGATCCCACATGAAGGTAGTAAATATCATGTTATGCTATACAGCAATACAATAGGTAAAATTTGCCGATGAAGTTGTATTTATTGCGCAACAAAACACCAAACAAACTGCAATGAATTCCAGTTGATATGAATGTACTAATAAACAACTTATTTACTGCCTAGTATTGACATTTCCATTATATTTCCAACAGCCGACGTCGTCTGATATTTAAACTTCAATAAACACATATCAGATCATTCGGTAGATTAACTAGTAGATTGCACGTGTTGATTACAAGGTGATTGCCCTAATCCGTCAGGACAGGTGATTTACTGGCGTTGTGTCTCCGACCGTACGTTCTATTGTATCGTTTACGAGGTGGGTTGGTAGTTTAGATGGGTATGGCATGTCAGAACTGTTGACGTCACCAGCTGTCGGTGAAGTCAGTAAGTACATTGTGCATGTTTATCAACGAATGATTAGGTTTAATCTTAAGTTAGTCTGATCAGATATTTAAACTTCGAAACAATACAATACCTGGTCACACCCTTTTTATACTCGTTAACAAAATACCAGACAAACAAGAGATATTTTCATAAAAGCAACATATTGTGTGGTCTATAAGAACAGTTCCTACCAGTTCCTACCAATGGCTTCTTAAAGAACCGAGTCCTAATGCAGGAAAACAATAGAAAATTCCACTGTGTACATATTCCGTCTTTGCGTATTGCAGAGTTATCTCTAATTAATAATTAGTTATCTTCTCTTGGTAGCAGGTATTGATTGTTACGTCATTGGTCTCTGTGAGAAAATTACGTCGTTTTCTCAAAAACTGATGACGTTACTCTCACAAACAAGTGACGTAACAATCAATACCTGCTCCCAAGAGAAGATAACTCTGCAATACGCAAAGACGGAATAGTAACATCGACATTATTTTCACTTAGGGGCAGATTGAGTAAACATGTCACCCGTTCTCCTGACTGCATGCAGTACTAGAGTGCAGTCGGGCAAAATGTCTTTATGATTTTTGACAGCTGACTTGACTTGATTCGGCACACTGTGGATTAGTGAATTGTTTTCATCGGTTTACAGTCGAGACATCAATCATTTGCGCTCTTTGCTTGTCAAAGGAAACGATTTCGAAAGATTCCAAAATAAGTTTTCAATTCCTGTTTGTGTTCAAAACAAAATTAGCCTTTATTATCCATACCAAACTGAGTCTTATCACGTTTTCGTTTTAGATGTAGCGGTTTAGGGACTAGGCCAGGGTAATACCGTTAATCTGGTGGCTCAGTTTGTTAAAGCGACAGTAAATTGGTGGAAGGTCCAGGGTTAAATATATGGTCTATGATTTAACTTCTAATATCTTTGAAATTCTGCAAGTATGGTTTCTGTTAGGAAACGAATTACACGTGCTTTTAATCATGCCGGAAACCCATTTAATATTCTTAGTTACAGGTTTTTTTGCAGTGGAACGGGGATCCTTAATATAATGTTGTTTGGTTTCCTATTTCCTATTACTGTTTGTTTTGTTTTCGTATTATTTTACGGCCCATCGACCAGTTAAATAATTTTAGCCAAACAACACTGTACAACTAAAGTCACTCAGATATATATTTTATTGTTACATTTTGTATTTTATTCGAGGATTCAAATATATAACAGTATTTTTATTCAGATATATCTAAATCTCCAGGGATCCATACGTTTTATATTTCATAACGCGAGTTCAGTTTTATGAATAAGAATGCCAACGAAAACAGAAATCACCTTAAGTGAAATTATGAAAGATTAAGATCAAAACAGTAAACATTTAATATTGTCAATTATTAATTGGTTGACATTTTGATATTATCTGCGTTTATAATTTTTCTTAATATTGAATATGCAAGACTTTTACTAATTAACTTTGCATTGTTGCATAGCAACAAATATTTTTCTATAATATCATACTTAATTTTGAAATCATTTTTCATTTATCTATATCACTTAAATGTCAGCATAGGAAAGATTAAGCCACGTCCAACGGAACCGAAAAAAACATTGTTACATAGCACAAATTGACATACGACAGTGACTTGATAGATAAACATACATGATGCGCTCAACTGACTATTGCGTGTTTTGTGCCGTCTTTAACTTTTGAACTTTTGTTGCATAGCGTTTTCGTTTAAATAATAATAAAACTTATCTGTCTTACTAATATATGAAAGGTACTAACCCGCAACACGTCGGACCAGTATTGTTCATAATAACGGGGGCCTACCTGGACACGCTTGGCTATTACACGATGTCGTTTCGTAGTCTGAGCCTTCACAGTAACTTCCGGGATATTCTCTGGTCGGGTTGTCACATGGTCGTGACCTGGAAACTACTCCGCCCCCACACAGAACGGGACAGGAAGTCCAAGGGCTCCAATCACTCCATCCCGCATCCCCTACAGGAGTGACAAATCAAAATTACATCTTTACATTTGATATCCAAGCAGTATGAATTGATTATGTGATTTATCTGCATTTCGTATTTATTAATAAATATTCCAAATCGAAATAAGAGAGATGGTTTACATTTCGTGTCATTTGTTGTTAAATATATTTTTTTCCATATTCTATACAATATATAAAAGATATACAAAGCATGATATATATATACATGTGTATACATATATATACACTGTATAACAAATATACAATGATAATCAATGAATATAGTTTGTTTAGTTTATTAAGATCTGATCTTTGGTAATGTGATACAGGTATCATAAAGATATATATCATAAAAAATAGATATTTGTATATTTATCTTTGAATGATTGTATGAGTAAAAAATGAACATATAGGCAAATCATGCTATATCTCGTACATATGAACAGTGAAAAATATCTAATAGTTAAGGATGAGAGGCACGCAATTTACACTACTCATTACAAATTATAATATACCTAAGTTGTCCTAGTACATTATATTATTCCGAATAAACATTTTCGATAATAAAGTGATTATCTTACGTCCGCAATACCATTTGGCTTCTCCCTCTTTAGAAATACCAGGACAGGGGTTCCCAAACAAAGCATTGTTAAATTGGAAAGTGCAAGCACTTAGTTCTGCGCATGCGTCATCAAGATCTGTTGTAGAGTCAGAATCCCAGCAGCTGACGAAAGTGTCATCATCCCAATAGTCTGACCCCCAGCTCGCGAGGTAAACGGAAATAAAATATCCGGATCCACAAGTTATGGTGTAGTCCTGTCCCTGCTGCTGTATTCCAGAACTGCCAGCGTAAGCTGAAAGGAATTCATAATTGTTGTTCAGTCTCCAACCACAACATATTATCAAATTGATCTCTTCAAGCATATGTTTATTTAAATTGCAATTAAAACGGTATAAGGCAACACTTATTAAACTTTCATTCATATAGTAAGTGTTTAAAATTATATATTATATGCTTTATTGCTTTGCAGTGATGGTTATAACAATAAGAAAATATTAGTGTCAGTGAAAATGTAAATGTGAAAATCTATTTAATACTAGTAGCCATTGTATTCCTCGATATTGAACATAATTGCCTTATTTTTCAAACTTTTTCAAAGATGCCCATTTATCGCAATAAAGAAAAAAAACGCTTTTAAAGCTAGGGTTGGCCTCAAAGTCTGTGTGTCAGATTCATTACCTTCATGTTTCCTGGTAATTATCAATTTTGACAATATATATTAAAATAACGATGTTAATGTATTAACTTTTGTACAATGCAAGCCCAGTTTTATTTGTTCAGCTTAAAATAACACATATTTGAATCTATCAAAAAGCATTTTCAGAAAGAAAAGCATGGGGTTGTGTATAGACGCTCGTTAGGAGAGTACGATCATTTAGCAATAACGAAGGAACCGAAAGAGGAAAAATAATCCTGATTGGTAACAACCAGAACACCTAGTCTTCAAAACGTTGACTGTTTGTAACAGTTACTGGATCACCTAGTATGATTATTACATTATATGGAAGCTGTTATGTTATCTTGAGTAGTAGCACTAGATACCATAGCTCCATTTCTAAGATCACAAGTGAATGGGGAGCTCCAGGTGCAACTTCCATCCCAAACAATCTTACTTCAAGGTAAGGCATGAGTCAAAAGGTATTAGAACATTTTGAGTGATTTTGAACTTGGTTTTCCTTCAAATACGATAACTGCGCAAATTTTGTGTACATAGATACTATTTTAAAGAATTAACTTTCCCGATTTATCATTCTACCTCAAATGTTAACGAATATGAAATTACGTTTCTTGTATAACACTGGCTTTAAAACGATGTCCATAAAGAAATATTGAAAAACAAAAGCACTAACACAGACTGTTTTTCTAGTGTACTAAGAATTTTTTACTTTTCCGGTTTCATTCGTAACCATTTACAATTATAATTTCTTTCCAAATACCATTAGTATATGCTGATACGATTATTTGTTCAATGTAAAGCATTCTCACCAACTCTTTAAATGATAGTTTATGTAGTTAAGTGCACAATAATCATAAATTGTTAATAATTAATAATCGTCTATTCATGCTCATACATATAGCAGATGCTCACAACAAAGAAAATATTGAAAATAAAATATTACTGGAGATTTTCCAATGTGCAGTTTTGCTTTTCACTTACCTTCAGATTTCTTTGAATATAAATATACGAAGAAACATATTGACAGTACTCGTAACGTCCAGAATACTTGTACCATTTTACCAACGTCTTTGTCGTATCAAGTAAATATCCTTACTAAGGTTTGTTTGTATATTTAAATTCAATTGGAAAATTCTTGTTTAGATTACTTTAACATGTGTAACAGACCATGCGAAGTAATTTTCTTTATTCGGGCAAAAATGGGTGTGAATCAAATCGGCATTTGTATATCCGGGGTTAACACACGGTACATATGTTTACGTCGTAAGATATTTAAAGATATTACAAGATATTTATCAGTTCAATATAAACAACAAAACTGTCAGACGGGTATTGTACTCTTAACGCGCTCGACACCGGAAAAACGCAGTCGATCCTGAACCGCAGATTTAAAGACAACAAATCAGTATGCTTCCTTAGTTCTATACATGAGCGATCCAATCGAATAGTTCTCTGCTTACTCATTATGAAAATTGAATTATTTACGATATTCTATCTGAGCCTTTCTGTATTAATGTTGTTAACAAACATTTATATACCTGTAGTAGTATATCTAGATATAAAGGTGTTTCATTTATACGTATTTCTAGTACTTATTTTACTCAACAAGGTTGTTGATTGTACCGCTCGATTATCAGTTCCGAATTCAACAGTAGTTGAAATTCGTTCTGGCATAGTTTACATGAAACATAAAAACTTCATATAGAATTAACTTAATAAAAGTTCATTGTTAAAATAATACTAATAATAAATAACAATAATTCGAGGTTCTTATGTACCGCTTTATTACAACCTAGTTCGTAGGTCATCTCAAAGTGTTCACAAAATAATACCCGTGATTATAAACGTATTATACAGGACATGGCATAGATATTTGGAAGTATCTAGAGTTCAGCCTTAGACTTCTATCTGGTGAAATTGAAATATAATGACCTGTGTGGCCACAGCCAAATCCCGCATTTCAATATAACCACATTTATTAATAATGAGAACTGAAATCTAGTTCACTTATCGTTAATGATTTCTGGCTACAATGATCTCCTGGGTTAACTTACCAATCAGTGTGATATTTAACCCAGTAACTTAGATATATATCGATTTATGTGTATGTTGTCATGGTCGTCAGTTTGGGATAATTGATTAAAAATTCAAAGACTATATAATCGCTGACAGTATGCTAACACTGTAAAATATGTAACCCTTAGCCATGCAGGTCACTATATGCATATAATGCATGGTCTATAAAACCAGCATCTTTATTATACCTGCTTTAAAAAAAGAACATTTGATTAAGGTATTATAAACATACATCCTAATATCAATAAACACAATACAGACCTTTTCATACTCGCTGTATATCAATAGATGAACAATTCTTATGTAGTCAAATTTTATTAAAGTATCAAAATATACGAAATGTTCATTTTAAATTCCATTTACGTCTTTACCAGTGGCCGATTCATTTGACAATATGGCATTTTAAAGTAATATGCCCATATTAGTATCAGGTGTGAGAAGTATCTTTAAAGTTTGTCAATTGGTAAAACAGTTTTCATATTTAATAAAATCCATCGTGATTTTAGAAGATGTCCATGACAAAAAACTTTCATTGAAATTTATTTCTTATCGTTACTAATTTCAAATTGCATATTGAATATAAATATGTATAGTTATAAAATTATATTTAAAGAATTATTTTGGTGTCTGTTATAGGTTTTGTTATATAGAACAATTAAGCTTTTTCAGTGGGATATATTTAAATGATACAAAGTAGTTATATAAAACGACTGATGGAGTCAGTGAGTATTTTTGGCCTGAAAAGTTGTTTTTTCTACATCTTCGTTTCATTAGAACAATACAAATTTCGCTTTTTGTATGCCGTTGTAACGATAAATAATGTTCAGATAATTAATTCCATTGCTGAACTTAATCAATTAAATGAATTCACTAATCAATATCTAGAGATACTTCATTGCTTATTTATATATACCACTCCTATTAGTTATATATTATAGATGACCGATATAGATTTGCGAGGGTGTGATGTGTGTTAAATATAACGTTCACCCTCAGTCGGCTTTATGTTAGATACCCATGCCGTGTACATCTTCATACATATACAGTGAGGTAAATTATATATCAGGTATTAAATGATATGCTGCTGAAAGGACAGTATCATACAACAGCGGACAGCTACACGTACAAGTCAGTAAGTTGTTTAAACCTTTTTGAGTAGTAGTAGTAGTAGTAGTTGTTGTACTAGTAGTAGTAGTAGTTGTTGTACTAGTAGTAGTAGTGGTAGTAGTAGTAGTAGTAGTAGTAGT